GTAAACATGGGACCCTTGTTGGGTTTGTGGTTGCTCTTTCATACAACTCAGGGAGACACTGAATCCCCTGCACTGGAGTTCTCCCAGCAGTTCGCAGTCAGCAAAGAGCAGCAGCGTCAGAGGCAGCTGCTGCCCTGTTCGCAGCCGTCCCCCGACCCTGGAGGGCTCAGCGGGCCCTGGTCCTCTGCTCCCGCCAGAAACGGAGCCACTGGGAGAAGGGACAGGAAGGGGACAGATGAGAAGCTTTGCTTGGGTCTCACTGTACTAATAAGGTCTCCTCCTGTGCTGTGGGCCGGCTGCTAGGAAACGGGAACGGTGGTATTTTAAGAATGAGCCGTGGCTTAATACTCGGAAACCGGCTAATGATGTGAATGCGATGGTCCCGGACGCAGTGAGAGGAAGAGGAGGAGGTGTGCTGAGTCTGGAGAGTCCAAGCTGGCGACTGCTTTCAGACCCGAGGCTTCCTGCCTCATTTTCTCCAGATCCACACAGTAGCCGCCCGACCAGGTCGGGAGAGTGGGCAGTGGCTCTGAGGGCTTCACGATAGGTCGGTGTTGTCCCCAGTGACCGGTTAGGCCTCTGATGAGTCCTGAGATTCTTGTAGCCGCCTCTTGGTTAGTATGTTCCTTGTATGCAGCGATTTCCATAAGGTGCTTAAAATAGCCTGTCGGTCTGGGTTCCGGCGTTCCTCGTTTATGCTGGTGGCGACCCCCCACAGCCACCCTCCCTCTCAGTTTCTTCCTCCCCTCCCTCCGTCCCTCCATCTGTCCCTCCCTTCTTTCCTTTCCTGGTGGGACAAAGGTGGCCCTCCCTGACCAGCAGGTGTGACTTAGAAGCGCTGAATCGGCACAGCCCAGACAATGCAGGGACCTCTGAAGGTGCACCCTCTGCGTGCCTGTAGCTGTGCTGCGGGAAGGGGGCGTGATCCGCCTCCGGCGCTGGCACTAAAGGAGCCGGGAGAAAGCACAGGTGTCTTCACAAAGTGACACCATCTGGGGCCATGCTCAAGGCAGATGCCCTCACGACGCCCCCACTCTGCGTGGCCCTCGAGTCAGAAGGGGTATGTTGACCGTTGAGACTTGCAGGTTGTCACTTTGCTGTAAAGCCTCCTGCTATACACAGTCCCTGGGATGAATGAATAACTCAGTTGCTTTTATGAGTTTCCCGGGTATCATTTGTTTAATGAATGAATAAATAATCAAATGGGAAATAGGCTATACCAGTTGTGTATCTTGGTAATGAACTTGGCAATGTGGTGTGACCTCTGCAGCAGTAGCATTGGGTTCCAAGTCCGGTGGGGCCTTTGGTGTCCCCTTGACCCTCACTCCCATGCACCATGTCCTCTGAATCACACTTGGTGCCTCTTTGAGGTGTTGACAATTGTTTATGAACACATCTTAGGCCACCCATTTCACGTAGGCTCTGATCAGCAGCAGAGCGCTCTGCACCCAGTTGTTCAGATGTGTGTTGAATAAACACGTGTGACTCATTTAGAGCTAACCTGTACATGGTGATGGCGGGGGTGTGGGGGATGTGGCTGGTTTCAGCCAAGAAAATGAGAGCCAGGTCCACACAGCCCTGGGGAGCACCCCCTGCGGCCCTGAAGAGTGGGGGTGGGGATCGCTGGGGAATGAGCAGGATTCCAGGTGCTGGGAAGCCCCGCATCCCTGCTGTGAAGTCCTGGGCTTCTTCCTCGCTCTCATTCCTTCCTTCCTGCTGCTCCTCTTGCGAGCCTGAGGTGGATGAGTTGGAGACCTCTGAGACCTTTGAGAGTTGGAGACCTCTCTCCCTGCAAGAGCTCATGGCCCCAACTCCGTTGCACCTGGTGTCTGCCCATCAGTCACCTCTTTCTTCCTTTGTCCTTTGTCCCCCTCCACATTGTCCCCGCCTCTGCTGAGCACCAGGTGTATTTATTTGTTCACAAGAGTGAGCTTGATTTTGTTCAAGCCAGTTAGCATTTATTGAGGATCCACTGTGAACCCGGCCCCCGGAGGGGTCTGCAAGGATACTCCTCCACTTACTCCTCCCTCACAGGAGGAAGACGGCCGGGGAAGCAGCTCACCTGAACACACAGTGGCACTCAGTGTCTGCAGGGATGCACACACAGGGCCACACAGGAAAGAGCGACCCAGTTCTGGGCAGGAGGGCCCGAGACACCTTCCCGGGGAGGTGGCATTCGAGTCAAGCCAGGAAGGCGTCGTTTTGGGAGCACTGCAGGGAACAGCATGAGTGAGGAGCTGGAAGCACGTACGGGCAACACGTGGAAAGAGCGGAGAGTGTGACGGGAGTGATGGGCGGTCCCTGGTGGCCAAGCTGAGGCATGGACATCGATTGGGAGGTCCTTGATCTTCAGATGTGACTAGACTCTCCTTTCCTCCCTCTCGGCTCAGAGGATGCTGGGCGTTGGTCTGGTCCAGTGAGAGCTGACAGGCCACCTCCCCCAGGGTGAAGGGTGCTCTGCCCACCAGGACATCCCCCAGCCTGGCTCAGCCCAGACAACAGAGTAGGCACTCAGTAAACTCCTGCTGATTTTTTTATAATGATACATTTCACATGGTGGGTGTGCTTCCTGAGAGTGTGGTACTAGGAAGAATTTGAGGCTCCGTCTGACTCAGCCAGAAGAGCTGCCAGGCAGGACCCGTGATGTCCCAGAGGTAGGAGGCCCGGGCACCTGGCACCTGGGCAGTCCCGCCGTCCCTGCTGTGGGTGACGCCATCCAGGCGGCCCTGCAGGCAGGACTGCAGCCCCGGGAGACAAGGGCCCGGCGGGCTTTGGGTAGCCGCTGGGTTGTTGTGTTTCAGAAACACGCACGGCCCTCTGAGAGACACCTGCTTGTTCTGGGGACGGCCTCCAGTGTGGCCACGCCCCTGGGGTGCCTCACTCTCAGAGGGTCAGAGGTGGTTCTGAAGCAGGTTCTGAAGTGGTTCTGGTGTTCGCAGCCAGGCTGGTGCCGCGCACGGTGTGGGGGTCTGCAGGAATTCCGTCACATTCTGGTCATTGACCGGGTGCTGGTTATGCCGGTGTGTTTATGTTGTGAAAATCCATCATGTTTTATCCCTGGGGTTGATACAATTTTCCGTGTGTGCTGAACTTCATTTAAAAGTTTAGGAGCACGGCCTTAGGCAGCCCAGCCAGAGCTGGGCTCGGACACTGGCAGGCTGTAGTTCTGTCTGTTCCCGGGAGGTGGCGGTGTGGCGCCACTTGATAAAGGAGAACGGAGCACAGGGTTCCTGTCTCTGCCCACCCTTCCTGAAGACTAAAAACCTCCGATTTGGGTGTATCTTTGGGAACTAGATTATTCCCTCCCTCCCTCCTTCCATCCCAAAGACAACTTTTTAAAAAACTTCTTTTAAGAGTGACCAGCGCCGTGGACTCGCAGTGAATGCCGAGGGGAACAACCTTCAAAAGTGGTGCAGGAACCTAGAGCCTAAGACAGCAGCGAGCGCCCCCTCCCGGCTCCCCCTGCTCCCCCTGCTCCCCCTGCTCCCCTGGCTCACCGGGGCAGGGGTGGTCTGCAGTCTCATAGGCCCGGCGGGCTTCCAAAAGCAGCATGCACACGCATCACGCACTCACAACAGGATTTTAAAACATGAAGGCCAGGAGCCTGTTTTCTTGTTGACCCTCACCTCTTTCCTGTTCAATCTTTGTTCCACTCCACGCGCCCCCCAATCCACAAGAAAGTTTCCTTGCAGTCATCTCTGTCCACACAGCCTGTCCAGAGGCCTCAGTAGCAGTTCATCAGACAGCCTTGTGCCAAATGAGAGCCTGTGAATGAGCAGCCTCACCCGCTACCTGCGGCACTACAGTGCGTCTGTGGTCCGTTTGGCCTCAGGGAAGCTAGTGGGTTTCGAACCTCTGTAAGTGACCTTGAAGCCCCTCCAGGTCTTCACACGGGAAGGGGCGTCAGGCTGCCAGTGATGTGCATGGAGAACGTCACATGGTCCCCTGCGTGCGTCTTCATGAGAGATGGACCCGTGTTAGTGACCGATGCCTCCGCATGTCACTCTCTGAGTCCGGAGTAGCTCTGGCTCACCTGCCTCGAAGCTGAATCAGGTGGCCTCTCCAGCATAAAGCACTTCCGATCTGAAATAAAGTAATGCTGTAGGAGAGCACCACCATAAATAAATGATACTGCTGTGTAAAAGAAATCCATTCATATCGTTAAGTAAAATACCACAAAATAACATACGTTATGATCCCATTGACTTAAATCCGCCCAAAATCTCTACAACCATCTACGCACATGTACAGGTTCATATGGAAAAGGGGTTGGAAAAAGCCTCCAGACTTTTGCAGGGTATTCACCAAACTCTTAAGGATAACTGCCCCCCTCCGAGGGGAGCAGGCCTGGAAGGAGGGTGTAATGTTTGATGAACAGAAAGGCTATGATCATGTATAATTTGTATGACTTAAACATGTCTAAAAAGCCCTGGCTGGTGTAGCTCAGTGGATTGAGCATGGGCCTGTGAACCACAGTATCGTGGTTGGATTCCCAGTCAGGGCACGTGCCTGGGTTGCAGGCCAGTTCCCAGCAGGGGACCCACGAGATGCAACCATACACTGATATTTCTCTCCCTCCTCTTCCCCTCTAAAGATAAGTAAATAAAATCTTTTTTTTAAGTCTAAAGAATGATCCCAGCTTGCTTATCCACTTACAGATAAGCAAACTGACACTAAGAACAAGGAAGGGAACCTTAGCTCTCAGAACTCATTGCGAAGCAGAGCTGGGACTCCCACCCAGGCCTTCCAAAGCTTCAGGCACTTCCCGCCTTGCTGCGGTAAAAGGAAATTAGTACCTGCTGGTCTGACTCAGTTTTCTCACCGCTGCTTATAAGGAGCCGTTTGTTCCAGTGCATTTACAAGCATCATTGCTCAGCCTGCCTGTTTTCCAAGAGAACCTGTTTTCAGCTGCCCGGCAGCTGGTAGGGTTTTTATTGCTGTTTTCTGGATGCTTGGAATTCCTACCCCACCAGTTTTCTTCTCCTGTTATCTCTTCTCAGAGAGCCTTTTCATAAGCTGCTGGCCCAAGGCCTCATCAAGGGGCAGACGTTTCGCCTACCCTCTGGTCAATACCTACAGAGAGAAGATGTAGACCTCACAGGTAAGAGTGGCCCATTCGGCCCTGTGCAGGTAGGTGTGAAGAACCAAAACCAGGCCTGAGAGCCATTGACAGAGGCCTTGGCAGACTGAAGAAGCCAGGAGAGGGGCCCGCTGGCCTCCCGCTCTCTGAGCCTCAGCTTGCTCTGAGCTGGAGCCCTCTGCAGGCTGGGCAGGGCCGGTTGTCTGGGACGGAGAGCCAGCCTGGGCATCGCCTCCTGCCTCCTGGCCCGTGTTTGGCAGCCCCTCTCAGGGACAAAGCCCCTGGGCCCAAGAGATGCTCTTCCAGGACTGGGGTGCCTTCAGTGTTTCTTCCCACGTGATCTACAGGTGCATTTGAGAGCCCACGGGGTCGGGGGGCACCTGTCTCCTGGCCCCCTGGACTTCCCTCCCTCCCCTGGGTTTCCCTCTTTGTCGTGACGAGGATGTATCCTGTGCACCCAGCGTACAAACGAAGGAAATGACGTGTTCCGAAATGGGGAGGGGGTGTTCACAGAGGCAGCTGTGAGGAACCTCTAGCACTCTGGCCATGGAATTTTTTAGAAAACCAGAATGTAATGGATGAGATTGGGTACACCCGTCACCCCTAAAATGGTCATCAGCCTCCCACACTGAACACTAGAGAGAAGGTTCAGGGGGAGGCAGTCGGCGAGCTCCCTAATTAAAGCGGTAATATGTCCAGTTAGGAGCAGAGCGGTCACTATGGGAGAAAAAGAGTCTGGAAAAGCAGAAATCGGCAGTTACTCCCACACGGACCAGAGGGGACAGGAGCTAAGTCCAGGGGCCTGTATGTTCGAGCACTGTGCGTAGGCACCCAGCTGAGGTGCCCAGCGGGGCCTGGCATCCAGCCACGTGCCAAGCCACACGCCTCAGGGCCACATCTGTCAAGGGAGGGCACCTTCTTCTGACTTCTCAAATTCTCTGCCTGAGAGATGCCTTTTTCCTGCTTTGTACAAGGCCATACAGGTGAGCCTCGGCCCCAGGCACCTTGGTCCCGTGGGGGTTTGGTTGCTGCCTGGCAGGGACAGAGAGCCACCCAGAGGCGGGCTGAGCACAAGGCCACGGGCCTCACCCAAACGCAGCTGCGGGAAGTGCAGCCGGCCTCACCGCGTTCAGGGGTCACCAGACCACTTCTCCCGCTTTCTCCAGCTCCTGGTTCCTCTTCCTGCCTCTCCCTGCTCTTCTTCCCTATGTTCCAGGCGTGGGTTCTGCTCTTCCTGATTCTAGTTTATAAAGTGACCTTGGGGGTCGCCGCGCTGAGTCTTGCCCCCTCGTGCAAGGTCTCTATGGTTCCAGTGCCTGACAACATCAAACGGAGCTTCTGTCTCTTAGTTCCCATTCCCGGGAAAGAGGCTCAGCCCTGTCATATGTCCTTCCTGGTCCCAGCCACTGGGGCTGGGCAACAAGGTCCCCTCATCCAGATGTGGCCATCGGCAGCCTCCTCCCTGGCACCGTCTGGACCCTGGGGTGGGGGTAGGGATGGGGAGGAGACACTTCCGAGAACAGCGTGGCGGGCTGGCGCTGCACCGGGACGCCACGGTCGCCGTGGGCCCTGACGGTAGACAGCTGTGTGCTGGTGACTAAGACTCGGACGCTGAGACGGGCCTGCGGGGGAGGGGGCTCGCTGCTCAGCTGCCAGCTCTCAAAGGCGACCCCGACCCCACAGAGAGGACAGCCACATGTGTGAATCCTTCCTGTCCTTTCTCATTTTTTATTTGTGTGTGTCACTAATTTACTGCTCCAAAGGGGGAAATTGCTCCGTCTTTGTTTGTGGTTGAGGAAAAACTCAGAGGCGATTGCACCTACTGTACCCGCAGGAAAGGCAGGTTGTGGTGGGAGATGGGCCTCATTTATATAAAAACCTTCCTCACAGTGTGATGAGGAGGGAGAGACGAGGGCGTGTCACGTGAATCAGCGGTGCTCTCCGAGCGGGCGCTCTGACGGCTCACCCACCGCTCCCCGTCGAGTGCGTTTCTGCAGAGCCAGTTCGGACGTGCCCATGCCGCACCGATGCATCGTTTCCGTGTCCAGGTCCCGTTCCTGTCCATGCGGAGACGAGGGAGGAGCTGGCGGTGACGTGGGAGAAGATGAGCAAGTCCAAGCACAATGGGGTGGACCCCGAGGAGGTGGTTGAGCAGTACGGCATCGACACGGTCCGCCTCTACCTCCTGTTCGCTGCCCCCCCGGAGAAGGACATCCTGTGGGACTTGAAGAGTGAGTTGCCAGCCTCTTCCTGGTCCTCCTGCCTCGTGGTCCGCCTCGGACGCCAAAGGCATTCTGGGAAGCAGAGGCCTTTGCTGAAGGTGGTGGCAGAGAATTGGAGAGATGGTTCTGTGAAGCAAGCAGCAGGGTGTCCCTTTCTAAGCCCAGGCCAGGGTCATTTGTAGCCCGCTGTCCCCCGTGAAGGAGCCCCCTGATCCCAGGGGGAGCTCGCCGCATCCTGGATTTCCAGTCCGCACCCCTCACCTGCTGATCCAGCCCCTGTGGTGCACCCAGGGGCCCGCCTCCCACAAGCCTGTGCAGTTCAGATGCCATTTCCACGAGCGCCCACCTTGAGAACATGTCCTCGGAGCCAGATGGCTTCCCTGCTGCCCCTCGGCCCACCGTGGTCCCCAGAGGCCAGTCCTTTCTTGGTCTGCCCTGAGAGGTTTTCTCAAGAACAGCATCAGTGGGCTTCAGCAAAGCCCCACCGGGGGCCTGGCCCTGATGGTGCCCGTGACCGCTCGGCACCCCAGCCGCCTCCAGAGGCCCCCAGGGGACAGTCGGCTCCAAAGTCATTTAGTTCTGAAACAGCAGGAAGTAGAGTCATCTTGGATTTATTACCTTATTCTGTACACACATTATATACTTTAGTGCATTACATTTAACATACAACTACATATTTAACGTGTGTATTTGTATATTTAATATGTACATTACATGATACACATACTATAGACTTATCAGTAACATAGAACATGTAATCTGGCTAGAATAAGCTGTCCGATGGTCATTCACTGCCCCCTGGGGTGACCTGCCCGTGTGTTGTGGCAGGAGGATACAGGCAGGTGCTGGGATGACTGTTTATTTCGAGGTCTCATTTCTGGGGAGAAGAAGGGGCCGGAGCAGCAGTCACAGAGGCCAGGCCAAGAACTGGCTGCATTAGAGTCCCGGGGGTGACAGTCTACGCCCCACCCCTCCCCACCCCTCCCGGCAGGACAGCCTCCAGGAAGCTGTTTCTGACAAGCCTTCCTGAAAGTCCTGTGTGCATCAGTCAGGCTTAAGAACACCTAGTCCAGTAGCCAGACAGTAAAAGACTGGACTGGCCTGAGGTTGGCTAACCCTGTGACCCAGGGCCGCAAGATGAGGTCATTCAACTTATCCACAAACCAGATTAGCACCCAGATTTGGTGAAAGGGTTTGAAATGGGTGATACACGCATGTCTGGCCGGGCCAGGGGGCAGCTCCCAGCGTGGTTTGCCCACCACTGCCGCTGCGCGTCACCTGCCCAGGTGCAAGGAGTCAGCTGCGTCCCCAAGCACACTGTGAACTTTCGTCCCAGCTAGCTTTCTTTATCAAGGAGGCAACGTGGGTGCCCATTCTGGCCCAGTCTCCTGAGCTCGCCGTGCGGCAGGGACAGTCCGTGGGCAGCAGCACTTGACATAACCCTGCCGTCCAGTGCGCAGGATACCTGGGCTCTGAGGTCCAACGGACCCACCCTGGTTCGAGCCCCAGACGTGGGAGCCAGGGAGGGCCCTCCCTGTTCCCGTGGATACGCCCACTGGGGCACAGTGAGGTGTCTCCACTTCACATGCGATCTTCTCAGCTTCAGTGTAACCTGATCAGTCATTTCCACGTGTGTCTCTCTCTCTCATTTCCTGACCCCAACCTCAGCTGACGCGCTCCCCGGTGTGCTGAGGTGGCAGCAGCGTCTCTGGTCCCTGGTGACACGGTTCATCGAGGCCAGGGCTTCTGGGGAGGGGCCCCAGCCCCAGCTGCTGAGCGACGCAGAGAAAGCCGAGGCCCGGAAGCTCTGGGAGTACAAGAACTCGGTCATCTCTCAGGTCAGAAACTTCCCGGGGGACATGGTGGCTTCTGTAAGTGGCATGCGAGGTTGGCGTGACCCCACTTGCCTTGAATAATGCCCCACTTGCCCGGGCTTGTCCCTCACACCAGCGGTCCACTCGGCCAACTGCAGCCTCATGACCGAGGAGAGGTGACCTCCTTCACCCCGGCTCCTGTTTACTCTGGTGCTGGCGCTCGCTCCTGGGGGTGCTGCCCCACAGTGGTTTCCTGAGGGCAGACCGTGGGCGAGCGCAGGCCCTGTCCCCGCCCTGTCCCAGCTCTAGGTGAAGAGGACACTCCTGAGTCAGGGAAACAGCACTGATGAGACTAACTCTTCGTGCTGATGACACATAGTGATTATTTGAGATAGTGAAATACATCGGCAAATACGTGATCACATCCACCTAATTTCACCGTTTTGGGTAATTCCGTGGATTTTCAAAGGAGTTTTTGTAATAATCCACCTTTTGCCCACAGGTGACCGCCCACTTCACCGAGGACTTCTCACTGAACTCAGCGGTTTCCCACCTGATGGGGCTCAGCAGTGCCCTCCTGGTGAGTGGCCCGTCTGTCCTCACTCGCTGGTGGCAGAGGAGGGAGGGGGCTTCTGCCACCGGGCAAGGTGGCCTGCCAGGCCTCAGGCCGGGGATGGAGAGCAGGACCGTGGAATCACCTTCTCCATGTGTCTCTGTTACCTTTCTCTTTTAAGATTTTATTTTATATATTTATTTTCAGAAAAGAGAAGGGAGGGGGAGAGAGAGAAAAAAAAATATCAATGTGTGGTTGCTTCTCATGTGCCCCCCCCACAGGGGGCCTGGCCCCAGGCATGTACCCTGACTGGGCATTGAGGCTGGTAGCCCTGGGGCCCTGAATGATCCTGCGACCCAGGGTGTCCTTTGGCAGGTGATTTATGGTCACAGAGACTGGGAGCCCAGGTGTCCTGTCGGGGGCAGGTGGTGAAACGACTCACGTCCTGTTGGAGAGGGGGAAGCGTGCCACCACGCCCGCGTTGTGGCGCAGACTAAGTGTCCCCCCAGCGGAACCCAGTCTCGAAGCTCTGTGTGCGTGGGTGTGGGTATCCACGCAGGTGTGCGTTTTTGGAAACCGGCAGAAAACACACTGGATTTTTTTCCTGGGTGTAACAATTGTGAGCGGTTTTGTATTTCCCCAATTTCCTGAGCTGAGTGTGTGCTGTTTTTCTAATCAGGAAAAGGGAGCAAATAGTATAGAAAAATTAAATCAGAAAATGAAGTGTCTACTCCCAGGCAGCTTGTTCTGCCCCCGGTCCTTCTCGTCGACGCTCTGTGCGCCCTTCCCCACGGAGGTGCATTCGGCGCTCAGGCGGTTCGTCAAGCTCACGCTGGGATGGGAAGCCCATGTTCCCCTGCACGCAGCCCCTCCCGACCTGTGCTGTGGGGGTGTCACAAGAGCCCTGATCGATTGCTGACCGCAGGTCCAGGCCCCCTCTCCTCTCCAGAGAATGGGGGATGGGGTTGAAAGTCCCACACTTCTAATCATCACAGCTTGGTCTTTCCTGTGACTGACTCCCACCCAGGTGCGATTCAGGAGCCCACCCAGAGCCTCCGAATTAGAACAAAAGACCCTCCTGTGTCCCGGGAAATCCCAAGGGGTGTGGAAGCTCCATGCTGGGAACCAGGGGCAGAGACCAATAGGTATTTTCCTGTTCTTTCACACGTGTATCAGTGCATTACTAAATAGACCGTGTATAATATTTTTGGCCTCTCCAGTCCCCAAAAATACATCACGTGGGCCCTGACTTTTAACTGTAACAAGCATATAAAACCAAACAAACTCGTTTTTGTCACACAGTATAAGGAGCACGTACTAAGCAGCACACCCGCTTGGGGCTCACCGACCGGCTCAGGGCCGCGGTGTGGCATTGTCCCTGCAGCCGCCTGGGGACAGCCCGTCTCCTGTCCAGGCTGCTGGTGGACCACACCCCCCAGCTCACGCCCAGGTGTGCTGGCCACCCCTCCTCCCCACCTGTCGGGCCCTGTGACATCCTTGATCCCTGCGTTGGTTCTCCTAATGACCGTAAGCTCCCGAAGGGCAGAGACGTTTATTCCGTCAAACATAATACAAATATTCCGGACACTGGATCCCTAAAGACCGGTAGCCAGTAGGTACGTCACAAATTGAACAGGGACGACGGAGCTGGTGAGCCACACCTCAGGCAGGAATTGTGTTTATAGGAAGAGAGTGGGGGCGCGGTGGGGGGGGAGGACCCCCGCCGCGGAGGTTTCCCCCTGCAGAGCCTGTCTCTGCGCAGCACTTCTCACTGGTCCTGGGCACCCAGGAGGCCCAGCGAGGGGTTCAGAGTTCCACTCTGAAGGAAGAGCACCCCAGATCCTAACCTGGCCTCAGCACTTGGGTAACCGTGCACCCGAGGGCAGGTTACCCTGCCCGTCATCCTTAGCTGCGCCCTCTGTCCCTGCGGTAAGAATGCCACCCTCGAGGGGTAGCTGGGAGCCAAATGAGTTAGTGTCAGGCCGAGGGCATAGCAGATGCTCAGTTAACGGTGATGTGCTTGTTGCTGCTGCTCAGGCCGTTGTTAGTACTGTCGTTCATGGGGAGCGTCCTCTGTCCAGAGGGTTTCTTCCGACCGTGTCCTCTCCGGACTCGAGACGTGCCCGCGGCTGAGCCTGCCCGCGCTCCTCCCTCGAGCCCCGGTCCTCACGCTGTGCTTTCCCTCCTCAGCAAGCTTCGCGGGGGCTTGTCCTCCACAGCCCCGAGTTTGAGGACGCTCTGGGCGCCCTGCTGGTGATGGCTGCTCCGATGGCCCCTCACATCACCTCCGAGCTCTGGGCAGGTAGGTGGGCGCCTCCTTGCCGGACCGGTTACTCCTCCCCAGGATGCGCCCGGGCCTCTCGCTGAATGTGACGTGGGGCTGGGGTGTCCTCAGCCAGGGGTCCAGTGCTCGGCACTGTCCTCGTCTTCTGCTCTGGGTGGTGGTGCTCTCGTGGTCGCCGCCGCCGCCAAAGGGAAAGGCCCTTCCCCGCTTCGGGAACAGCGTGCCCAGACCGATGCCGACACTGGTGTCGCTGCGGCCCTGAGTCAGGCCTCTGCACCGAACGGCGATGACTCACCCGGGCCCTGCAGCAGGCGCCTGAGGCTCGGGCGGGCTCCATGTGGGCGCCCCTCGCACCCCTCGGAGCCCTGGGGCTGGCGGGGGGAGCTGTGTTTCCCACCCGCTCCTGGGGGACCCGATGCTTGGGCAGGTGGGGGACGGGGTTCGGCCAGGAGTGGCCGTCCCTCGAAAGCCCACGGCAGGACTGGTCCGGGCACCTTCGTCTCGGGGAGAGCCCTCGAGGACGTTTTACGGGGCGCACTGGTCGTTCCGAAAGGCCATCTAGACTCTCTGCATCTTCCTTTAAGAAATAATGTGAACATTCTTTAAGCCACCTTCTCTAACGGTTTGTTCTTTTTCTTTCCTCGTCTCCACTTTTTGTAATTTTAACATGGAACTACTTTATAAAATGCCGTGAGGTTTATAGTCTCTTTCTTGGTTAGAAGACAAAGAACAGAATTTATTTGCCATTAAAGCCTTTTGCCAAATCAGCCACAGTCCGCCTGGGAGAGCGAGGGCAGTGGTGGCGTGGGTCTCTGCAGCACCGCAGAGTCCAATCCTGGCCGCACGGAGGCCTGGGTGGAAGTGCTGTGAGCAGGCGCCGTGCGGGAGGCCGTGCTGGGCTCGGCCCCCCAGACCTTGCACCGGGCAGCCTCCTGTGCCTCTTGGACGTTTATTTAATAAATGAGCTCCTGGGAGACACACTGCTTTTATCCGGGGCCTCTGAGAAGCAGCAAAACTCACAGCAACGCTTCCCGAAAGTGTTGCCCAGAAGCCGTGAGATGTCGCATGAAACGCATCAGTTCCTGAAATAGGTTCTTTGGCCATACACTGCAAAACACGTCATTGAGTGGAAGCCCCTGCTCAGCCTTTCAGAGACCGAGGTGAGCTGAAATGACGCGGAACCACAAGAAGGAAGCGGTGAAGTGTGTGCTGTCCTGGTGGCTCCAAGTGACAAGAAAGCCACTGCTGGGTGGGTGGTGCTTTGATGCGTTCTGCGGTAGTGATTGATTTAGAAGGAGGGGGGGGGGTGACAGGGACCTCATGGGGCTGCGTGGGGTCTAAGAGCGAAGCCAAGTGAAAGCCAATTGAAGCAGCATTCAAGATACTGCACAGACAGACAGACAAACGAACAGCTGTGAGATGTCAGGAAATGGCTTCACCAAAGGAAAATACAGCTCTGATCAAAAACACCGAAGCCAAGAGGGACCTGTTCCTAAGGAAACAGAATGAGCACAGCGCTGAAAGTCTTCCACTGAAGCCTGGAGCCCAGTTCCGTGTGCCCTTCGTCCCCAGTCAGGGCGGGCAGCCCCTCGGGGAGGTAGGGGTCCCGGGGGTGTCAGATGTGCGCACTGCTTCGAGGTCAGTGGTCTTGGTCCAAAGCCTGGAGGGTCTGCGCTGACACCGATGAGCCTGCAGTTGTGTGGGCGTCCCAGCCGCAGGCCCCCAGGAGCACGCTTGTGGGAACAAGGCGAGTGTATTCCAGGGGAGTCCATGGGCTTCTGTGGGCAAAGGCTGAAGCTCAGTGGCTTGACCCTCTGTCCATCTCCTTGGGGTTACCAGGGCTGGACAAGGCACAGTGGGGTCAGCTGCCACAGCATCCCCAAGTCCGCAGTGTGTGTGTGAGGGCAGGCCTGAAGATGGGCACTGGGACACCTGCCGCCCACAGAAGCTGTGACCACCCAGCATGCACTTCCAAGTGGCGTGGCGACCTCGCCAGCTCTTGGGGTGGGAGAGGGGTCTTGATTCGGTTCTTTCGCAGGAAGGCCGGCAACAATGGCTCTCCCAGAGGAGGGAACGGAAGAGGGTGGGCATGGGCCCAGCTAGCCCTGCACCGCAGCTCGTGGGCCTGTGCTTCCCAGCCTATGCTTCCTGGCCTGTGCGCAGACCTCTCCACGGTCTTCCCAAGGCCAGCCCTCCACCTGTGTCATGCAAATGGTGGGTGTTTCTACTTCCCTAAAAAGAGCAGGAAGGCACAAACACCACACAGACCTGAGCGAGTTTCTGTTCCTCTGGCAGGAGGCCCCACGCCTACCGACAGGGAAACGCTGGCGGGCCCAGTTCGCTGTAAGTGAGCATCCTGACTGTTCCGGGAAGGCCGCACTTCCTCACTGTTTTAAAGCGGAATCTGTGAGGGTCTCTGCCCAAAACCTTGGTGTCCAGGTCCTTCCATCTGCCAGCATCCTGTACAAAGCCATGGGGAGGTTTTGGAGTTCTTCCTGGACAGCTGGGTCGCAGGGCCAGCCGTCCCAGGCCAGCCTGCTGAGCTAAAGAAAGGATTCTCTCCCTCCATGACCTCTGCCTTCTGTTCAGGTGTGAGTCTTAACAGGGCCCTTCTGCGGAGCAAACAGAGAGCTCCTTCCTGCTCTGCCCAAGGGCACCGCTGTCGGAAATGCAGCAGGTCTGTGGGCGAGCTCGAGAGTCCCAGGGCACAGCAGGATGCAGGCACCTGTCTGGTACCTACTGGACCCGCAGGCCCTGAGGGGCCATTGCTGCCCTTGGACTGACTGGGCAGCACAGGGCGACCAGAGTCCCGGACAGGAACACGTGCAAAGCTACGACACACAAATCTGAGATGCTGGCGTGGAGTCGGCTCGGAGGTCCCCGGGATTACACAGGCCGGCGCCGCTCTGGGCCGTCTGTGACGGTCTGCAGCGAGCTACAGGGCCTGCCACTACGGGCACAGTCGAGACGGGACGGCTGCTGCTCGGGTGGCGAGTCTGTGGGCCCACATGGGGCCCGGGTGTGCCACCTCCTCACAGACGGGGCGCATCGAGTCCCTCGTGGTGAACCATCCTGAACGCACCTCTCGGGTGATATGTTATGAAAGGGAAGTCACAAACCAGTGGGACAAAGAGTGTGTTGAATAAAATTGGATTAATGTTTTTTCACATTGGACACAAAATAAATTACAGATAAACTCAAAAGTTAAATGGGGGAGGAAAGGAAACCTTGAAAAGAAACCGGAAGAAAAATCTTGAACTGATCTTACGTCATGGGAGAACTTTATTTTCAAATGAAGTTTTATCTTTTCAAATTACAAAAATACTAAATGTTCCTTTTGAAACCTATTAAATGTTTAAAGAAAAGAAAGAACACTCACACTTATCTCTCCCAGGGAAAATCATGGCCACTATTCTGATTTTTTGCCTTTCGACCTTTTATCTGTTCATACAAATTTTTAATAAAACCACAGTGCTAGTTCGGCTTTGTTTTGCCAGGATGGTTGTACAAAGAAATATTCATTACATACATAACATCACCATCCTTCAAAATAAACATGTTTAGAAATGCTATTCAGTAGAACTTGATTTTTTTCCTACATTTTTGGCCTTTTACAGATTTTCTGCAAAGAACATGCAGTATTTTTGTCCTCAAAGAAAAAGACAGAAGCTTGTCCCTCACAGCAGAGTGTCCTTGGGGCTGACACTGTGGGCATCACCGCCTCTGTTCCAACCTCGGCCTGAGCCCATCCCCTGAGCAACAAGCCCACCCCTCAAGTGCATCTCCTAGTCTCAAGGCTAATCACAAGGGGGCAGTGGGCGCCGCCCCCCCTTGTTTCTGCTGCCCCTGCATGAGGACCGTGCAGTTGGGCCCAGGGGCTGTCCCAGCTCAGGCCCCTGGACACGCTACTTGTGCCCCAAGACCTGTTCTTCTGACGTGTGTGTGTGTGTCCTGTGCGTTCAGGTGCATCTCTTGTGCCCGCGAGATCTGGAGGCTTTGACACCTGAGCCTCCCTGTGTCAGACTCCCTGGGCCAAGTCCTGAGCCCTGACTGCTGGCTGGGGCTGTCCCACGTGTGCTGAGCAGGGAGCGTGCTGAGTGTGGCCACCTCAGCTTTGGGGGCTGCACCATGAGGCCCCGTGGGGCGCAAGACTCAAGCACAGTTCTTGTGCTTCTGCATGTTCGACCCACCCTGGCCAAGGACCGCTCTCCCCAGTTTGATCCCTGGCAGGAACAGCTTCCAAGAGGAAGCTGGAGACCCTGCCGAGGAGGCTGAGAGGCACTCCCTGCTGTCCTCAGCCTGTTGGCTCCCCCGGCTACGGGGAAAGGCCCAGTTGGTGAGACCGCAGGAACCCACGGACCAGACAGGAAGTGAGTGCAGCTCAGGCCCTGCTCTCAGGAGCACAAGGTGTCCCTCCACCAGCAAAGCTGCAGCAGCCAACGCCAGCCAGCAGCTGCGTCTTCCCAGATGCACCCTCCAGACTGCGTGCCCATCTGCCCTCCAGCTGTGGGCACAGTCTGAGGAAAAAGCCGCCCATCACCGGATTCGAGGGACATGGAGCCCAGGGGGACCGTCTCAGGGCACATGAGTTTTTGTACACACGGGGTTCACGAAGCCTCGAGGTCACGATGTAAGAGCTTGGGAGTCTGGCCATCCTTGCATAAGCCTCTAAGCCTCAGTTTCCTCTGTTGGAAAGTGGAAGTGAACACGGCGTCTGCCTTTACCTGGCGTTGGAGGAACGAACGCGCTGGGACGGTGCCAGAGGGGGTCAGACCACTCTCGGAACACAAATCACCTGGGAGGATTAGGCAGGCCGGGGGTGGGGGATTCTGGGCAGGCTCTGCACCACCACAGTGTGGCCTCAGGAGCCTCTGGTCCACTCGGCCTACTGTGTTGGGGTGAACGCTTTTTGTCCGGCTGCCCAGAGCCTCATGCATGCTCACTGACCCTCTCCCTGGCCTTGACATTGCAGGCCTGGCACTGGTGCCCCGGAAGCTGTGCTCCCACCACGCCTGGGATGCTGGTGTGCTGCTCCAGCCGTGGCCCACCGTGGACCCACAGTTCCTGGAGCAGCCCGACGTGGTACAGATGGCCGTCCTGGTGAGTGGCTCCCGTGGCTCCCGAACTAGGGCCACCCTGCCGGCCAGGGGGTGGTATAGGGGTGGGGAGGGCATGTCTTATCTGTCTGGGAGGCCCTGGCAGGCCTCTCTGGCTGTCCAGCCCTCAGCCCAACGCTCTGTCAAGGCCCCCATGCCATGTGGCAGAACCTCTGCGCAGCTTCCTTCCCCCATGACCTCGGTCATTGCCACGGCCAGACACGGAAGCTGCAGCACTGCACAGTGTGATCCGGCTCGGCTGTGCCCATGTTCCCTATGCCCATGACACGGGCCGTGCCGGATTCGAGGGACATGGAGCCCACAGGGACCGTCTCGGGGCACATGAGTTTTCGTACACATGGGTTCATGAAGCCTCGAGGTCACGGTGTAAGAGCTTGGGAGTCCAGCCATCCTTGCATAAGCCTCTAAGCCTCAGTTTCCTCTGTTGGAAAGTGGAAACGAACACGGCGTCTGCCTTTACCTGGCATTGGAGGATCGAACGCGCCGGGACGGTGCCGGAGGGGGTCAGACCACTCTCAGCACACAAATGACAAACCCAGGGGCCCAAGGTGAGCACTGACCTGGCGGGGCCCTGGGAACTTTCCGGACGCTGGCTCAGTGGCCCCGCACCACAGCCCTGCTGTGATCCCCGCCCACCTCACAGATGAGGCTGGTGGAAGAAATGGGGGCACAATGGGGCTTCATCGCTCGCTCGGGGAGTGCTGGTGCCGCTGGAGTCAGCATCGCTGCTCCTGGAGTCGGCACATTGGAAAAAGCATGGTGAGGAAGGGGCTGCGGGCCCTTGGCTGTGAAGGAGGAGCAGCATTTCCTTTGTGGAGGAAGGGAGCAAAGGCAGGGAAAGCACTGGGTGGCGCTGGGACAGTGAGCCTGGGCTGTACAGGGGCACAGCAGGGCGGCGCTGGAGAGCAGTGGGGAGTCTGCGTCGGGGCAGGGCCTCGGGTGGGTGACTTCCCCACACGCGCCGCAGCTTCCCCGTCTGTAAAGTGGGGAGGGGGTGGCTGCGGTGAGGACTCAGGCCCCCCCAAGGGGGCGTGTGGTGGAGTGTGAGCTCCGACAGCGGGGTCATCGTCCCCAGGGCTCCCCGCATATCCGTGCACAGCGGCGGCTGGGGCAGGGGAAGCCCAGGGGAACGAGGCTGAGGCCCTGGACCATCACCACAGATGACGTGGCGGTGGCAGGGACAGAGGGCCACTGAGTGGGGCCTGGAAACTCCTCCAACGTCCGACAGCCGCTGTGTAGGATTTGAAAGTGCCTCTTCCCCTTTGGAAGCTCCAACCAGAGGGCTGTTTTTCATTTAACCAGTGTCTTGTGCCCAGGGTGGGCGATGCACGTTCGAGACCCACTCACTCAGGAGGGACTGCCCTGGGTAAGCTACCGGGGGGCGTCCTAGGGAGCTGGAAAGCATGAGCAGTGGCCAGGGCAGCGTGGGGAAGCCCCCTGGGCGCCCACTGCACACCCAGAGGTCACAAGGCCTCCCCCGGGTCCCCCCTGTAGACAGCAGTGACTTAGCTGCCTTGGACAGGCCTCGCCCGTGAGGGCTGAGGGTCAGCCCCCGGCCCCGGGAGGCCGCTGGGCCGAGAATCCAGGCAGGGCCACTGCTGTGCTACGGCCGTGCATCGAAGGGACCATCCGTTCCACCACCCTGGCTGGGAACCTCAACAAAAGCAGAGGAAGTAAGACAGCGAGCTGGTCACTTGTGTCAAGGTTATATCACTTCCTTCCCTCCCCCACCCAGGGGCTTCTGTCCTTAAGAGAAAACTGAGGCCTGAGGCCCCACCACTTGTCGGTCCAGGCCTGAGAGCCACCCGGAGTCTGTCCCCCGTCAGAGAACACGCTCTCCCCCAGGACCCCACATCACGGCTGGTGGCCAGAGGAGACCCGGCCCTGGGCCTCTCTTTCCTAAAAACAAACAAACAAACAAACAAACAAACAAAAACAGTAAGAACAGAGACGGGAGGGCCAGTACATGGATTCATTTTCCAGTGCACATCCCGAGAATTCCATGTTTGGGGGTTCCCAGGACTTCACAAGGGACATGGCTTTTGTATGGTGGGGTGGGAGGTCTCTGCCAAGGTCTCAGTCAACCCAAGCACGTGGCCTTGAAAGAAGGCAGCGTCTAGTGACTTGGAAACAGGAAAGGAGAGCAACCAGAGTCCTCCAAACAGCACTTCCGAGCGCACCAGCTCTGGAACACAAAAGCCCAGCATTGTGGAGCCTGGCTCTACTTTGTTATTAAAAACCCCGGCATCCAGGATATTTCGGGAAACAATGCTTTACTTGTGCCCCACGCAGTAAACTAGGCTAATGCAACCGTAAAAATGACACTGAGTTCCACAGAAACCTGAAAAAAACGAAGTGGGTGCTTAAGGTACACTTGATGACGCGCTTTCAGTGGAAACTTGAGAAATTATCCCTGGTAACTTTTCATTACACGGTGACTGTTTTCCAAGTGAAAAACAGGGGTGTTAGCGAAAGCAGTTGAAGTGCTCACCGGAGCAGTGGGGAACAGGAGGTGAAGGGCGGCTGTTCAGGCGCTGTCGGGGCCACAGGGCACTTCCACGGTGGTGGTACCGGTTCATCTTTGATGCCAAGTTGGTCCTTGCCGAACTGATACTCAGCGAGCGCCCACTGACCCCTGCAACTGTGCTGGTCCGCTTTAAGCCAGGGGAGTTGCTTGTGGGTGTAGGTCGAGTTTCCAGGTCCTCACCGACCACCCATTTCTGGAACCAACCCTCAGAAAGAGAAGTGGACGGTGGTCCCCAGAAGTTAGTCCTCTGGAGGCCTCGGGAAAATCCTCAGTGGCACCCCTATGGCTGGGTCTGAGCTTAGATGCAATCCCCAGGGACACAGCCGCAGCTGTCACACACGAAGGGTTGGGGGGTAGGGCCTTCCCCGGGGCTGCAACGGGGCAGCTGGTGCTGCGTCTCCCTCCTCTCTTCCCCGCATCCCCTCTGCCCCCGGCAGACACAGACACAGCTGGCCCTTCGCAGGAACTGGGGCTGGGTTTCGGGCCGCCTGCCCCTCTCAGTACTCTGTGTCTCTGGCTTGTTTCCACAGATCAACAACAAAGCCTGCGGCAAAGTCCCTGTGCCCCAACAGGTGGCCCGGGACCAGGACAAAGTGCACAAGCTTGTTCTTCAAAGCGAGCTGGGCGCCAGACACCTACAGGGGCGAAGCATCAAGAAAGCCTTTCTCTCCCCCAGAACGGCCCTCATCAACTTCTTGGTGCAGGAGTGACGTGCGGGGCAGGGACCTCGGGGACCTCCGTCCAGGCCTGGGCAGCAGGAAGCAGTGCTGGCCCAGGGGCAGGGGAGACCCAGATGTCTTGAACGTTTGCCTCTGTGCCTGTGTGGTGTGGCCTGGTGCAGGGGTGAGGTGGGGCAGAGGAGGAGCAGGAGCAAAGCGGGAGGCGAGGGCACGTGACCCCGTGTGAAGCCAGCGACGTGCTCCTGGGTGGGAGCGGAAGTGCGGGGAGGAGCACCTCGCCTCTCAAGCAGCAGCCCCAGTGCTTCCGGATCCCAGGAATCCCACTGCCCTCGTCACACCCAGGAGCAGGAGGGCGAGCTGAGCCTCCACACAAGGGCAAGGGCAGCGTGAACAGCCGCTTCCAACAGGCGACAGAGCCCGGGCACCATGGCAGGTGGGCTCCTCACCTTCCGGCTCAGTGGGAAAGCCCTTTGGGTCACGTCCACGTACCCCGCAGGTGGAGTGGACACTGGGGGCCTCGGAAGTTGCTCTGAACTGAAAGGCAGCATCCCCACTGCTCCTCAGCTTCACCTTGCAGGTCACACCCTGCCCGGCCCAGCCGGATGCACCCGCCAGGCCTGCTCTGGGGCGAAGTACCACTCCCCACCCCGAGTGAGGAGCTGCGTTTGCTGACACCCCCTCGGGATAGAAAATGGGCTGCATAGTGAGGTGGAACCAAGCTGCTCCCTATCTCAGAGGGAACCAATCGCGTAGCCCACAGCAGCCCACCACAGCCCATGCACGTGGGCCCCAGATGGCGATGCCGCCATTGAAACCGTCCCAGAGCCAGCTCTTGGGAAAAGCATCATGTCACCGCAGAGACATGGGACAGATGCCACCAGGGCGTGGCCTCTGTGTTCAAACCACAGCAGTCTGGCTGCCAGGGACAGGGATGGAAAGGGACCTGCGTTGTTGACATATTAGGATAATCCTGGTTTTACGTCCAGGCAGCAATTCGGTGCTCTCACCAGATCTGGCCAGAGCCACTGATGACTATTTAATGGAGAAAGTGGAGGAGAATCTGGCCATTTTGTGATGCTGAAAATATGTTTGTTCCCTGATGCCATTTTTCTGAAGTAGCCTCGGATACAGTTTTCCCTGCAGTTCAGCAGTTAACAGATGACTTTTTTTAATGTAATAAAAGGTTTGTCATGCATGACTTCAGGACATCTGCATGATCTTGGACTGGCTACCACATCCCCACTCAGGGAGTTCATCGGGAATGGACTGAGGTGGTCTGTCGCCGTCAGCAGTGCTGGCTATGAGCCGGCTCCACGTGGCTGTTATAAAGAGCGGTGCATGGGGAGCAGTCAGGCCCATCAGCAATGGTGGTTAAGTCACTGCTTCTCGAACTTGGCCCACACTTGGTGCTGTGCCTGGTCCCCGTGCCCAGAAATCCTGGTTGAGTGAGCCGGGGTGCGCTTGGGCATCTGGGAGCTCTAAGCGCCCCACAGGAGGACCACTGGACTAATGGGTGCATTTGAACCCTAATATCTGGCTGGTCCTTCCTGTCCCTAGTCTTCGGTTTCCGTACGATGAGGCTGGTCCAGAAACGAAGCATGATGAGGTGAGCAGGGAAGATTAGCATCAGAGGGGAGGCAGGGCCCAGACCCCTCAGGCAGGCCTTCAAGACGCCCCCAGAGCTGGCCCCAGTGCACACAGCGCCGTTCCGCCTGCCAGCAAATGTGTATCGAATATAGCGAACAGATGAGCTTATTTGGTACGAGGAGTGAAGAGTGTTTTTGCTGGTCTTGTTTATTCCTAAAGTAAGCCAAGTGGTCTTGAACTTGTCAACAAGATGAGGGTAGGGAGCCCTTTGCCCATAATCTGGCCAGAGCATCGGGCCAGGAAAGCCTCGAGGCTACTGGATTGCCCAGTATGGCTTTGGAGACCTTTTTCTGCAAGAGGACAAAGCTTTTGAACACAAGGGCTCAGTGGAACTGAGAGATAGGATAATGGAAAAACTGAACCGAGAGCTCTCCTCCCCGGGGGCGGGGAGGTGGGGTCGGAAATGAGCTCAGTTCTTTATTAACTGCCTTCATTAGGTCAGCAACTGGGCCCAGCAAGTTCACTTGGGTTATGTCATCTCATTCCCACAAAAACCCTGGAGGGAAGGAAGTATTTTCTCATAAATGTGAGGAGACCCAGGCTCCAAGCTTCTGTAATTTGCTCCATTTCCACAACTAACAAGTAGAAGAGCCAGGCTCCACACACGTGTCTTCTGGCCTCCAGACCCCCGTACAGCCCCCTCTGTGGCCAACTCCCCTCACCCAACCTTGAGTGACGTGTGACCATCAGGAAAGGGGAGACATTGGCCAAGAGCCTTCCTGGGGCACCCTTCCCACAAGGTCCCCAATCCTGGGAATCTGGGACATGCGCCAGTGCCCTCTGGATGGGACTGAGAGGCCAAGAGCACAGGGGTGGTTCCATAGGGCTGCATGTGCCACCAAACCAGTGGACGACGCAAGCTCATGGTCAATGCCAGCGTGGTTTCTGTCAGTGCACCAGGAAGTGCTGCCCGGGAAGCCCCATAGCAAATGGCACCACAGTGGCCACTCACGTCTGCGGAGGAAATGAAATTGGCCCGTGAGACCCTGCAACAGTGAGTGGGGAGACCGCCCAGCCATGCCTCACCCAGCCTACACTCCCCTGAGGGAACTGGTTAAGAAAAACAGGGCAATTAAACAACTTGTAAATATGGAACTTCGCTCATAAAGCAGTGTGTGTATACAGTGCGATTCCGACCCTTCCAAAGAGAAGGGAATTTGCCCACACATCACTGGTTAAGAGCCCCACGACCGATTTTTCCCCTTCTGTTTACTTGTGTGCATTTTCTCATTTTTTGTGGCCGTGTAGTATTTCGATAATGGGAAGAACACATCCCACTGTGCAATTTTGTGAGGCTCCTGAGGAGCTAAGGACGCGTCCCCGTGGTGTCCTCTGTTCCCCCTGTCACGGTGTCCGGCTGCCAGTGGAGACATGCGGGGAGCTCCCTCTCACCTCTCAGCCTGACGGTCTGGCAGCCTGAGGACAGAAGGACGGAAGGTGCCACCCCTTCCTGGGACTTTCCTGTCCCCAGAGGACAGACAACACACCATGGCGGCGTGGGCGCGAGCCCTGCAGTCGGCCAGACCTGGGTCCTGCAGCTAAGCAGGTCACTTAAAACCTCGTGGCCTAGGAAAACCAGGGAACTGCTCTGAACCTTTGTTTCCTCCGCTGCAAAAGGAGTAGACTAGTAAGGCCCTGGGGTGTGAGATCAAATGAGACTGTGTGTGCAAAGCACGTGGCCTATTATAAGTGCTCAACAAACGGAAGCGGCTTGTTAACGATTAGTCTCGCCTGAGGAAGAATAGACTGATGTCCGCAATGGGATTGTCTTCAGTCGGAAAGAAGGGAGAGTGTAGGGGCAGCTGCATCCCAGGGGTGAGTGCCAGTCCCGACCGCTCTTGGCCTGCGGGAGGAAGAAGAGATTTAACTGGTAAACGTGGAGATTCTGGACCCAGCGGCAGGACCTGCCTCGTTACACGGAGTTTTCACCTCAGGCCCCGTCACCTGTTCTTGGAGCCTGATTCCAGCCTCCTGGTGAGTTTCCGGGAGTCCCACCCATGTGACAGCGGCTCCTCTCTGGTGCCGGAGACCTTTTCCATACATGGTGACCAGAGGCCTGACCTCCCAAACCTCCCTTAGGCCCCTGATGGCCACTTGCTTCTGCCTGAGGACACGTGGGATTGTGACATGGGAAACAGTGATCCAGGGACGGGAATCTAAGAGCTGGAAACCACCTTGGTGAGCTCAGCCTGAGCCCTCCCAGGAGGTCTGGCTTGGAGGCGGCCTGGGGTGCCCAGCGTGGAGGGGTTCCCTGGGTGGCCTCTGTGTCTCCCTCAACAGCAGCTATTGGAAGGGGACCTTGCGGTTTTTTTTGCGGGGGGGGGGGCTCTCAGCTGAATGGATTGGCTGCTATTCTTGTGGCTCTGCTGCCTTGGCTTTGGGTTTACTGACCGATGATGGCCTGAGGCCGCTGGAGCAGAGGGCTCAGACATCTGGCTGGAGGAGGCCTGGGGCCAAGTGGGAAGTCCACTAGAGACCCGTGCAAGTCCAGGGCCTCCTGACAGGCCAATGTCCAGGGAAGAGGGCCTCCAAACCAAAGCTGAGCATCAGAAATTGGCTTTGGGTTTTGTTTACAGGCAGTTTGGTTCCAGAACTGAGCGCCCAGAGGAGGGGTTATAAGACCACCAGTGCACTCGGAAGTGTGCAGCCTGGGACTGGCTGCCTGCCCTTCCTGCCAGGCTAAGGAGGGCGTGACTCCTGCCCCCACCCACCTGGCCTCCTGGGCCAGCTGTCCCATTCAGCCTCCCAAGGGCAGCCAAGGTCACGGGTCACCCTGTGCACCAGCACCATACAAGGGACTTTGCCGCTGCTCTCAAATTCACACATCAGTACCACAAAGTGGGAGTCAGGACCCACATCCGTGTACAAGGCAACCGAAACCTAGAAACGTAGCAACCACGCAAGTCACCACCGTGGACTGCTCAGGCCAGCATTCAGTCCCAGGTCTGCCATTCTGTGCACAGCCCCTGCTTCCTCCATCGCTCCCTCCTCCCTGCCTGGGAGGAAATGCAGCTTGTTCCTTCCGTCCAGGGGATTCTGAACCTCCATGGCCCTGCAGACTTGTCCCTCCTTCAGGGAGGGGCCTCGGCTTTTGTACCCTGAATGTGTTTGTTTTGGCTTTGCCCACCTCTTGGAGAGTGGGGTGGGGATAACTTCCTGGGCATCTTGGAATGAAGGGACCCCCACTGGCTCAGGGAAGGATGCCAGAGAAGATCACAACTGAGCTGTCAGCAACCAACACATGGCAGCTGGGGACAGGCACAGCAACCTGTGACAAGGGTCTGCAGGGAGCACCCGTGGGAACGCCCACAGGGAGAGAAGGCAAGTCCCAAAGCCTGAGAAGCCGTGAGTCTGTGGGCGAGGAAAGGCTCCAGACAAAAGCCAGAGTCCCAGCGGAAGGGGGTTGCCGGACGGAGTCGGAGCAAGCCTGATGCCAGGGGCTGTGGCTCGGTCCCCTGTCGTGGGGTTCAAGGCCATGCACACGACCCAACAAGGTGGCGCTTCTCTGCCTTCCACAAATGAAAACGGGCTCATGTGGCCTGTGACTTGCCTGAGACAACAGTAAGCGATGAAGTCTCCTGACCCCCCAGTCTGTGCTCATTTCAGGCACAGCACCCCTCTCCCTACTTTTCAGAAAATCCCAGTGCTACTGCCAGCCAAAGTCAAGCTCAGGAGGTGAGCTTTCTCGACCATGAGCCCCGAAAAATGAGGGGAGTTCCCTCTCCTCTTCCTCCCTGGGAGAAGAGCAGGCAGATCCCGTCTGTTTCCGGGCTGGGTCCCTGTCTGATCCCAGAGGGTGGGCGGCTAGAGGCTCTCATCCAAGGGGATGAGTCTGAAGATGGGAATCTGGGGTGAGCAATAGTGAGCAAGGGGGAGTCCTCCCAGGGTGCTGGTGGGGAGGGGAGCGCCCAGATCAGCCAGGGAAGGGCCAGTCCTGTGGGCAGAGGCCTCCGGTCCAAGGGTGGGCCAAGGGTTGTGCAGAAGTGTTGACCTCACCCCAAGCCCCCATCTCATCTGCAGACATGCCCCACGAGGGAGGGGGCACAGGAATGACGAGGCCCCCGGGGGAGGTGGTGGCCAGGCCTGCTGGAGTCATGGGCCTGGAAACCAGCACTCGTGACTCACGGCCCTGTGCCTCGGCCCTGAACTTGAATTCCAGTTGTTTGACCTCTGGCAGAGTGTGCCCGCGCCAGACACGCGGCATGCAGGAGCCACCGCCCGTGCTTCCCCGCTATCAGCACCGGTGATATTTACCGTTTCTGGAGAACTAGTTAAGTGCCAGCCCCCGTTCTGAGTGTTTACCACAGAAGGGGCCTTGCTCAAGTCTCACCTCAAGAAGGTAGCAGAGCCAAGAGTCTGGCCCTGCTCCACCTCGTTGCTTCCCAGAGGCCTTTGTGCAACCCAGCCCTTGAACCTCCTGGATTTGTCCAGATAGTCCTGATTTCTGACTTTTCTGCCAGTCACCCCCAAAGTCCCCTGCCCGGCTCACACTGCCCGACCTGTGGCCGGGAGGACTGGCCCGCCGTGGGTGGGCACCTGGGTGAGCGCGCCCTGGTGCTCTGAGGCACCCAGTGCAGCCCGTGCCCTGGGAGAGGTCTGGGCTCCCTGTGAGCCTGGGGCTGGCCACTCCCAAAAAGCCGTCCTCTCTGGGGACAGAGCCTTTTTTGGGCCCCATCAGTGGGACCTAGAAGTCAGAGGTCAACTTTGCTCAACATCACATACCTCTCAGAGCCCCCTGTGGAAGGGGCGGTGGGGAGACCTGGCCTGGCCTGCGGTCGCAGGCAGAGCTGCCCGGCCCTACGGCAGCTGGGCCAGCGCCTTCCCCAGATGTTCTCTCCAATCGTGACTGAAGAACCTCACCTGGAACGACTGATGGGGTGGTCCCACCCAGAAAGGGACTCACCTGCTATGCCTGCTGCCGCTGAGACCTCGTGGCTGCTTTCAGAACCAGGAGAGTCAGGCCTGGGGAGGGGTCCTCCTTTTTCGTCCGACACTGTGAGGCGAGGGGGACTGTGCCATGGGTAGAGTGTGTGCTGTGGGGTCAGTAAGGGAGGTGGGGCCACCCAAGGGGTGATGTCCTTCCCTGGGCCTGGCCTGCTACTCTGTCAACGTAAAGGCGAGTCCCTTCCACCAGAAACGGCTGCGGCAGGCCAGGCCCCGGCAGCTGCTGCACACGGACAGGCTCAGAGAAGTAGCCGAGAGGAGGGAGCCCAAGCCAATGTCCCCAAATAGCTCCCTTATCTGTTGTCCATTTCTTGGTTTTTGACAGGTTAGTTTTCTACTACTGCTTTAATTGATCACCACTATAGACTGAAAGTGTGTGTCTCCCCTAAAACTCACATGTTGAACCCCTACTCGCCAGCGTGATGCTGTTAGGAGGTGGGCGTTGGGGAGGCAACAGGGTTAATGGAGATCCTGAGGGTGGGGCCCTCGGGATGGAATTTGCGCCCTTCTCCGTGTTACCGGAGTCTGCTTCCTCTCCCGGCTCTCCCCCAGGGCAGGGCGCAAGCCGTCCGCAGCCCAGGAGAGCGCTCTCACCAGAGCCCGACCCTGCGGGCACCCCGACCAGCTCCTGAACCAGGCGCTAGTGCTGTAGCGGTCTGCAGTCCTCCTTCACCAGAACAAACGTTCCCTTGTTACATTACAACAGACAATCTGACTGTAACCCGGGACCCCCCGGACCAAGGTGGTCTCACACCGCGCAAGGCGCTTCTCATTGCCATTGTCCAACCCCCGGAAAAGGGAGCGGGGGCGGGAGGAGGTTCCGTCCGCTCTGTCCCCCTGACAGAGGGATGGGGCAGGGTGGGGGGCCGGGCAGGCCTCACCCACTTTAGCTCTTGGCTCTCAAGGTCGCCCTGGACCTGGGCACCCAGCCCGCAGATCGGGGGAGAGCGATGGACGTTCATAAGGAGGTTTTTGTGCGTCGGGTCCGGAAGAGGTTTGTGCAGGGGCTCAGAACAGGCCTCCCCACCATGTACTGCTTCCGTGTGTGAGTTATTTTGAGCCGAAGGCAGTGGAGACCCTGCAGGCTCTCAGGAGTTTGTGTCTGTCCCTGAAAGAATTTAAATTAGGGGCCTCGCCCGTAATAACAGTTATCACCAGATAACTTCTGATGACCTACCTGTAGGGCAGGGCAAACTTCCAGTCACAGGACATCTGCTCTTCTTATCATCCTGCAGTGACCTTCCGCCCCTCTGAAGGCCCAAGGGGCCTGACCCCATCCTTAGCTCAGACGTCATTCCCCCCTCGTTCCCCCTTTTTGTCCCTGAACCCCTGGTACCATGCACGTCTCGGACACTCTCGCGTATGCAGACTTCCCATGCAGGCGTATGTAACTACCCTTGGTCATTGTCTCAGGTTACTCTAATCTGTCTCCTGTAGATTTTTTTGAATTTCTGAAAATACGTTTATTAATTTTAGAGAAGAGGAACAGAGGGGGGTGGAGAGAGAGCAATTGGTTGCCTCCCGTATGTGCCCCAACCAGGAATTGAACTTGCAACCTAGGTATGTTTCGGTCACCTGGCCTTCGGGGGCTGGGAAATGTGGGCCCTGCCGGGCAGCCACTTCCCAGCAACAGCTGTGCATGAGGCGAGGGGACCCCAGATCTTGGGTAGGCAGCTCGGACCCTCTGCCACCAGAGCGACCTTTACCCCCAGACTCCTGGTTGTCAGTGTGAATCTTCTTTATCTTCTAAATAGCTCAGTTGTCTGCTAACACCTGGGTTTGCAGGCCTCTCCTGAGTAGCAGCTGTTTACTTTCTGAATCTGGGGAAGCTGCAAACTGTGGCCTGAAACTGCTGCGGTCTGCCAACAGCCGCCCGGCCTCTGTCCCGGACGCCGGGCCTCACTCCAGGGGGCCGGGCGAAATCACAGACCTGCTTTGTGCCGCTTTATGAATGCCCGATTTTAACTCCGAAGGCTGGTTTGTTGGTCCCCAGTTCTCCCCACTCTCCTCCCTCCTCGAGACTCACACACCAGTTTTTGGAGTGTTCTGTTGGTTTGGAGGGTGTGGGACATTTGAAAGGTAGAGAAAGGCACGCTTCCCAGATGCCCTCAGGAAACCTGGGAAATTCCTCAGATTCCTGCTTCCCAAGGGTCAGGGCCGATCTCCGCGGGTGGAAACAGGACGCATCCCTGCCCGCCTCGCTGTGGCTTTTGTCCTGGAGACTTACCCCTCACCCCCACTGCACCCCCACACAGGGCTGCGCGCACACAGCACACACAACACACAATCTCACACACACAAGACACACGTGCACCCCCCACAGTACATACACCTCACCCATGCAGCACACACATGTACCACACGCACACCATAGTCAAGGGCCGGCTTTGGGGAAGGCACCTGGTAATATCTGTTTGCCCGGGAGAGGACAGGCTGCACAGCGAGGTGACTGGGAGCTGGGGGGAGGCAGAGGCGTCCCGAGAACAATCAGAGTCGCAGCTGCCAGGGAAGTAGCTGAGGCCGGTTCAAGGTGGCCAGTTACACAGGAAGGCCCTCCACCCTCCCACGCTCTCAGGTGGGACACCTTCACCTGAGGTGCTAAATGGCAGGGGCTCCGTCCTCTGCCAACAGCCACCCGTGGCCGGAGCCCGCTGCATTATTAGTCCACAAAAGCCCACTCCGTCCGTGGCTGGGGCCCGTTTGCTGCGGCGCCTCTCACCTTAGCGGCAGGGCAGGCAGGGATGACAGGCGGCAGTGATTTCAAGGGTCAAGAAGTGGTTGCAGACTTCAAGGTGAAGCGCAACTGTGTGGAACAGCTCTGAACACTGATTCCCGCCCTCAGTGGGGTTTGGAGACCTGAGCAAGTGGTTAAACACAGCTGACATTTTATGTCCCAAATGACAAAACTGACCCAGCAATGCCAGCGGTGGGGAGCACTGAGTGCCGTGGGAGGGGCACCTGCTGAAACCAGTTTGGGGATGTTTAGTAAACCTGAAGCTGCCAACCCACCCAACTGAAGGTCTGGGGGTTTCTCTGAAGGTGAACGAGAAAGCCTTCCCTCCGGGCCTCGGCCTCTCGGTTAAGGCTTTAGTCCTGGCCCCGCAAGCCTGGGCTGCCGCAGAATTGTGCTGAAGGTTTGGTCGTGGGGCAGTGTGGGTGCACATCAGTCTGTTGCAGATATGGTTCGTGTGAGTTTGAAAGTCTGGATCGTCAGTGACTGGGCTGACTCCAAGGGCTGGGAGTGGGGACCAAGGGGAACCCATCAGCGGCTCTGTGCCCCGGCTGTGGATCAGAATGACCCTTTCCAGGCCAGGACTGAAAACCAGTGGGTGATGGGATAGTGTGAAGACTGGCAAACTGTGGCCCAGGGGCCACATCTGGCTCACCTCCTGGTTTTATAAATAAAGCTTTATTGGTGCACTGCTATGACCCATTAATTACAAATGGGCCGTGGCTGCTTTTACAACAAAGTTGAAGTGGTTGTGATTGATAGAAACCCTATGGTCCACAAAGCCCAAAATATGTATTATCTGACCCCGTACAGAGAAAGTTTATTGACCCTTGAAAGGATGAAGAGGGCCTTGACCTTGGGGGCCCCCCAAACCTTGGGATCGGTTCTGTTTCCCACCCGGTGCTCATGAGCTAAGCTTCGCCATCTCCAAGCCTCAGCTCTCTACCTGTGAAATCGGGAGGCAATGCCCGTTCCACCCAGGCGCCGTGGGTATTAAATATAAAGTCTCTGTACTGTATCTCTCTGTATTATCTTTAGTGGTTGTGGGGTATCACCACCTATACCCCTAACTGACAGTCGTCTTCCTTGAGGTAAGGTTGTCCCCCCTCATGAACAACACAGGCTGAACTGTCCCTTGAGCTGTCGCCGGGTTCTTTCTGGGTGTGCTGTCAACACCACGCACATTGTATTGTTTTCCCCATGAAACAGCCAACTTTAAAGAGATTGTCAACTGAAGAGAGATAGTCTTTCACATTTGCCCAAATGCCTACCATTTCTTGTGTTCTTGATTCTTCCTGCAAGTCTGGCCCCTGATCTGAGCTGACGTCCCTTTGGCTTAAAGACTTTCCGTTAGCATTTCTTACAGTGGTTCTGCTGGTAGCAAGTTATCTCTGGTCTTCTTCGCTTTTGTCGACTTAAATTTTTTTCCCTGTACTTCCACTGGATATGGGCTTCTCGCTGACACTTTTTTCTTTCACATTAGATGTCCTTCCATCGGCTTCTGGCTTTCATTGTTCTGATGAAATCAGTCATCATTTTTCGTTGTTGTTCTATTGAAGATGTCTTCTTTCCTTAGGCTATGTGCCAGAATTTCTGTTAAACTCTGTATTTTAGTGGTTTTAGTAGGATATGCTTAGATGTGGCTTGTTTGTTTTTTTAATTTATTCTCCTTGGGGTTCCATGAGATTCATGGGTCTATGGGTTGATATTTTTCATTAATTTTGGAAAATCCTCAGCCATTAAATCTTCAAGTAATCCTTCTATCCCACTTCCCCTCTCTGCTCTCTTCCTGCCCTGTCACTGTGTCTGTGTTAGAGCATTTGCTATTGTCTCGTGGTCCGTGGACACTCCGTTCTGCTCTTTTTTCTTTCTTATTTGTTGATAGATCCACATGCAGTTGTAAGAAGTAGTGCAAACATATCCTCCACCCTTTACTCAGTTTCCACAGGGGTAACGTCGTACAGAACTGACCTGCAATGTCACCACCAGGATCCTGAATCAGTACGACCCACTGATCTTACCAAAGTGTTCTCAGTTTTTCTCATGCTGATCTGGGTGTGTGCGTGTGTGTGTGTGTGTGTGTGTGAAGTTCAATTCAATTTGATCACAAATGTAGGTTCACACGTCCACGACCTCAGTCAGGACACAGAACACCGCCATCGCTCTCAGGAGCCCTTGCATGGCCCCTTCATAACCGCCACCATCTCTCCACCATGTCCGCACCCCACCCCTGAGCCCCGACAACCACTAATCTGTTCCTCATCTCTAAATTTGGCATTTCAAGACTGTTATATAAATGGGATCATATGCTATGTAACCTTTGGGACTGGCTTTTTTACTCAAAAAAGAAAATTCCCTTGAAACTCGTCTGACTGGTTGCATTTACCAATAGTCCATCTGTTTTTATGACCGAGACGTATCTGTGATGTGCACACATGTTGTTTAGCTGTTCACCTGTTGAAGGACCAATGAGTGGTTTCCAGTTTGGGGCTGTAGTCAGTGAAACTGCTGTCTACATTTGTGTACAGGTCTTCAGGTGACATAAGTTTTTCTTTCTCTGGGATAAATGCTAAGAGTGCGATTCCTGGGTCGTGTGGTCATTGTATATTTACGGACACGTTTTCAAGTTCACCAATTCTTTCTTCTCCAGTGTCCCGTCTACTGTTAAACTTGTGTGATGAATTCTTCAGTTCAGATACTGCATACTTCAATAAGTTCTTATTTTTCTGTTGAATTCCTTCATATCATCCTCTATTTGCCCATCTTTTTCCATTACCTCTTTAACATATTTAAATACTTTTTTAAAAACCCTTGTCATCCAGGAAATCTATGTGTTTGCTTCTATTTTTTGCCTCTTTTTTCCTAATCTCATGGCACCCAGAATCCTTGGTTAAGCTCAACAACATGCTACCCAACCCCAAACAAGGGGAGGAGCTGCTGACCGAACCCCAAAGCCCTTTATGTTTTTCAGAGTGAAGTCACATGTCGCCTCTCACTTGAACACAGGACTCATCAGCTCATTGAGGTGCCCATAATGAGGACACGCTGTTACTTGGGTGATCGTGGGTTACAGGCTGTGGCTCAGGGTCAGCACTGTGGCAGGTGCCACAAAGGTGTGGGGATACAATGTGCCCCTCTCACAAGGGGCTTTGTGTCTCTTCAGAGGGGGCAGAATAATGGCCCCAGCTACGGACAGACATTGCCATAAGAGTAATGGGTAAGACTGACCTCACCCTCCAGGCAGCAGACACTGGGGCTGTTTGCCGTCCTCCCTTCGATTCCAGCTGGACTGAGTCCTCCGAGAATCAAACACCGAGATGACGTCGGGCATGCGAGAGATCTATGGAGAAAACACCTGTACAGAACAGGGAGGGCAGCGGAGGAGGTGGGCAGAGCCCTATGACCGAGATGCAGGTTGGCCCCTGTGAAGAAGAGAAGGAAGGGGGAGGAGGGGAAGTCTTAGCCTGCTGGCCAAAGCGGCACCTTGCTCCAGGTCCCCTGTTGGGGGAGCCCTGACCCCACAGGACTGGGCCTGCCTGGGTCTCCCTGCTGTGATTAGCTGTCGGCTGGGAGCAGCCCAGGGAGGAGTGGGCTCAGCACTTGAACACCTGGGCTCAAGGGTGACATCTGGGGCATCCAGCAATTATCCTTTCCATAGCAAGAGACCACAGGGCCTGCCGGGTGGGTCCAGAGGACCAGCAGTCCTCACCCCACCCTACATCACAGCTCGGCCCCGTGGGGTATAAAAACCTGGGGTGTGAGGGATTCCAGCCAGTTCTCAAGTGCACTGGGGCTGCAGGAGGGAGGCAGACGTCCCCCCCCAGGCCTCCCCTGGGAAGGTCACCAGCACCCCCAGCCCGCAGCAGTGGGTTTCAATGAGCCACTTGAACGTCAGTGAGGGTTGGATGTCCTCAGAGGGAATCAAACCATGAAATCACTTTTAACACAAAAGGCCCAAGAAAGAAACAGTGGCTCCAACCAGCACTCAGATGCGGCGGGCGCCTGCTGTCCTGCCACCACCGCCACCGCTGCACTCCCAGAGCACGGAGAAAACCTTTCCTCTTTTGGGTTTGTTTTTTTAACAGGATCAGAAGAGTCTGAGTATTTCATACTTTGCAGTTCCCCTTTTCAGTTCTTCGGTAGATGGGTTGTGCCACATTGAGCCAGCCTGGCACGCAGCTCGGGCTGGAGGGCTGAGTTTCCACCTCCTTAAAGCCGGGCAGCAGCGCCGGTGTGTGCGGAGGTGTGAGGACGCCGGCAGTGGTGCAGTCGGTCCGGGAAGGTCCTGCCTTCCTGTCCGCAGGGCTCACGTTCTGTGAGTGGCGGGCCACCTCTCCAGGCGGCGAAGGGGAACGGCTGCACACCCACGACCTCGGTTCAGTGCCTCCAGCAGCTTCCGGGGCTTCCTCAGGGCGCCCGCAGGCTGGGAGGTGCCTGTTTTCAAGTTCACGCCCAAACCGCCCAAACCGAGTGGGGCAATGGAAATGTCTCGGGGACTTTTTTCTGTGCGGTGTTGCTTCACAAACAAAGCACAAATGTCCCCACGTCCACTGGCCCTTCTTTACGACCCAAAGCAAATGGATGCAGGCCCCCTATCCCACGAGACTGGGGTGGGGGGAGGAATCACGGCCCCTCCCCACCGAAACTGCCCTGCCAATGACCTCTGTGTGGCGAAGTCCATGACATGCCTACGTCTGCCTCTCAGTTTTTCAGACACTTTCTTTTCTCTCCTGTGCTCCTACCCCCGCCCCTGACAGTCACTGCCGCCTCACTTTCAGCTCTGGCCTCTCTCTGACCCCTTCAGGGTTTTGGTCCCAGGTCCGGCGTTCTTTTCCAACGCCACCCTCTGCCCAGGTGAGTCCGCTCAGGCTGATGGCCTCACACGCCGACGACGCCACACCCAACGTCCAGCCGACCTCCCCCAGCCACACAGCTGGCTTCCGTGCCTTTCCTCTTGAGTTTTCCCTTCAGATTTCTCCCCCAGTCTGCCCTGCTCAGTAAACGACCCTTCACCCGCCACCCAGCCCTTCCAGAACTTAGGACTTCTTCATTTCCCCCCTTTTCTGGGTTCCCACATCTCCACCCGCAGTCGCTGTCTGCTTCACCTGCCAGGTGTCCCGAGTCCATCCACGGCCTCTGCCTCCAGAACCCTCTCCCTGGAATCAGCCCCATCTCCCTGCTGACACTGCACCCCCTCCCCTCCTCGCCCACCTCCCGCTCCTCCCCAGTCTGTCCTTAACACAGCCGTCCTGGTGGTCTTTGCAGAGCTCGGCTCAGATCAGGTCGCTCTCCTTCTTAACGGTCCCCAGCTGCAAACTCCGCCACGGGCCGGCGAGACCCGCCAGGCATCTCCCCCTCTTCCGTGTTTCCCGGCTCCAGCCACACTGGCCTTGCTGCCCTGGAGGGGGCACCGCCTTCCCCTCCGCAGGGAGGCTCCCATGGTAGGTATCCGAGTGCCTGGCTTTTTCTCAACCTTTGGCCCTTCCCCCCCGCGGTTACCTCCCTGAAAAGTCCCACCGCTGTACTGTACAGGGGGCTTCCAGCTCCGCCTTTACGTAATCTCCTCCTTCCAGACCAGCGATTTTCAGGCCCTTTCATCTCCTGGCACACAGAAAGGAATTACTAAGAGACTGCAGTCCACCCAAAAACGTGTTTTTTGCCAGTCTGACAAAAAAATAGGTAAAATTTTGGTTCATCCATACCAGACAGCTATTGCTGGGTTGGCTGTTGTCATTTTCTCAGTTGGCAGTCTGAGGGAAAGAGGTCGGCGCCCAGACTGAACAGTCAGGAATTGCACATTTTGAGGCTTCGGTGGGCACAGCCGCTGAAAATCGCTGCTCTGGACTCTGAGCCGGGGGCGAGGCAGGGGGCACATAGGGTAACGGTTTGTAATCGAAAGTCCGGTTAACTATTTTCATCTGGTCCAAGGGCCTCCTGGTCGGTCATATACAGGACAGGCGGAGCAATTACATGACACCTGTTCCCTTGCAGCTTCACCTCTCTCCTACCACACTCTTGGATGGAGCTCAAGGTCAAGGCTATGAGCCTGTCCCCCTGCAGAGCACCTGCGGCGAGGAGGGGGGCGGGAAGGGCACCCTCCCTGAGCGCCCCTGCGTCTCCTGCCCGCCTGGCTCGGTGCGTCAGGGCTCACGCCTGTATCCTGCCATCAGCCTCCCTTTTTCCTGAAGCTGAGTTGAGATGGGCCCTGCTCCCGCAGACAGAAGAGTTGTAAATAGTACAGACAGGAAGACGGTGAAGAGTCAACCTATTGGTATGGAATAGTCGGGGCTTTTTATGACAAAAATCCCCTCTAGGCTGTCCTCTTGGGGACCAGACAGACCTGACTTTGAACCCTAGCTCAGACCTGGTGACCCCGGGCCAGTCACTTAACCTCTCTGAGGCTCAGTGAGCCCATCAGTAAAATGGGGAGAGTAATGCCTGCCCACCAGCACTCTGGAGAAGGGAAGGGGGAGAAAACGTTCTGGCGGCCACGATTGTCTTGTCCTCTGAGCGAAGTTCCCTGTTTCCAGGCATCTGGCGTCTTTGGCAACGGCATCAAAAGCCTTGAAGATGAGGCCCTCACCTATTGACTCCCCGCTGCCTGCGCAGGAATCTATCCCAGGGGCACGGAGGAGCACATTCTGCTGAGATTTATGGACATCAGTGTCTTCGTTGCCAAGAGTTGAAGTGAGTCAGTGGTAGGGGCCTGGTTTCATAAATCAGGGTGCGCCGCTGCCAGAAATGATGCTTTAGACTGTGGTTCTGGCCTTTCTGGCCCCCTCAGAGGATGCGAGGAAGACACCGGCTTCCTCCTTGGGAAAATACACATCTGTACTTTTTCACAAAATTCATCGCATTTCAGAAAATGCTCCTGGGTCCCCTGAAGCTTCGTTGAGTGAACAGTTATTTAGAAGAACCATTTAATGATATGTATCAGTGCACCCAGTGAGCTAAATGAAGCAGGAAAAAATCAGTTCACCCAGCAATCTGTGCAGTGTCACCGTTTTGTAAAGCAAAAATAATTTACCTGCACACATGTCTGCACACTCGTACGCATGCCCGTGGCGGCCGTGGGGATCTGCCTCTCAGGTCTCCAAGAGAGAACCGGCCGGGGGCCCGAGGTGAGCAGAGTGGCAGCCGCAGTGCTGGGCTGGGGCCACGCTCTCCCCAGGCGGCCCCAGCTGACAACTGAGCACAGCACGGTACTGGGGCCTGGTCCCTCCTGCCTAGCACAGGGGTGGTCTGCGTGCTGACCTCTCCGTTGTGTTGGCCAAACTTTCCAGGTCTCTGGTCCTTCCTACCCAACTCTCCGTTCTTCTCCTTCTGTTCTCCCAGGTGCTGGTGGGCATCGCCGCCTCTGGCCGCTCCCACCCACCCCTAATCCCTCACCCACTGTATGTCATGGGTGATGGATGGATCGCTTGAACTTTGACTGTGTCTTGGCTTTCGCTTCCCAGGGGACTGTGACTTTGATGTGCTCCTGTGTATTTGCCACGCTGCCCCAATTCAGTCAATGAAAATTATATTATTATTGACATCAGAAAACATGTTTTCTTTTACTTGAAACGTAAATATGTATATAGGTGATATCTATATTTAAATACGTTCTGAAAAATTGAAGCCCCATAGACCATGAAATTCATTTGCTTAACAAAAAATGGGTGTCTCACATACCTGCAATGTCTTCTCCGTCTCACAGAGGAGACAGAATTCTTAGTGGCCGCGGTGCAGAGCCTTCTGGAGTGCACAGGACAGAGCGCCAGCCGTCTCTGTCCCCACTGAATCCCCCGTCAGCCCGTCCGGCATTCTGGGCTTCTCTGCGGGGACCCGGCTGGACGACAGGGGCAAAGGCTCTTGGTGGGCAGGGCCTCTCAAGGGTCAGGGGAGGTCCTGGCTGCTTTGATGTGTGGAAGCTTCCAGTATATTTGAAAACAAATAACATCAAAAGAGAGTTCAAAGTTTGTGGTGTATTTTAAGTACTTACCTTGAACGACATAGTATGCTTAACACACTCAGCCTCACATAAAACCTCCACAGTCATGGCAGGGTCACGGAATTTATTTTTCACAACATGTCATTGCTTGTCACACCAGGGGCGATGTGGCTGGTGACGGGTCAGAGGCACGAAGCTGTGTGACGAAGGTCTTATCTCAGTCTTGGTGCTTCTCCGTCCCTCTCCGCAGAGGGAAGGGGGGCAGACCACCTTCCGCTCCCATTTTCTTCAGGTGGGCCACCGACTCAGTGGGCAAATCTTTAGCTTTCTCTCTTTTTCCTATTTTGACGTTTGTCGGCCTTTTGTGTTTCCAATTATAAACTGTAACCCATTTACTCAAAAGGATTTAAATGATCAGAATTATATAAAATAGAAAATGAACATCCCCCATAACCCCTGCCTTCAGGGTAACCACTTGTAATACTTCAGTGTATATTCTTTCGACATCTTCTTTTTAAACATTAATTTTTAAATTTAATGAGGAACTATTTAACACATATAAATACACGTTTAAGCTGTGACGTGTAAACACTGAATCATATCCATGGACCCAGCACCCAATTTAAGAGCCGGCATGTTCCCCACAGGCTGAAGCTCACACATCCCCCTCCCCAGGAACACAGGTGAGTACCCAATACCTGAAACTCACTCCTTCTTGTCACTCCCCGTGTTCCCTACACTTTCGCTCGTTTCTGAACTTTATAAACATGCCTCTTCCTACAAGTTGCCTTCTGGGACATTAGGAGGCTTCCGCAGTAGTGCATCGATCGAGCCGTAGTTCGTAGAATGTGTGATGGGAATGTGTAGATTTTTACCTGTTCTGCTATCAGTGGAGTTGGGGGCTGTTTCCAGGGTTCTGCCATTACTAACAACGTTGCTAGGAGACCCCAGCGCCTGTGTCCTGGGTCCTGGGCTTCTCTGGGGACAGCGGTGGGAATGGAGTCACTGGGGTGAGGTCGGACGCAGCTCCGCAAGGTGACCTTCCCAGGCGGTCCTGAGTTGGCATCCCCGGCAGGGGAAGAGAGCTGTTCCTCCTCCACGCCCTTGGCAGCACTTGCGGTCAGTGGGCTCCGCAGTCAGTTCCCATTTGGTGGGGGATTCGGTGAGCCGCATTCTCTCACTGTGTGCCGGTCCCAGAGGTGGGGCTGGGATGGGTTCCCGGCCGAGCTGGGTCTTGAGGTCACCTCCCGGGAGTCGTGAGAGGGCTGAGGGCTGGAGACGAAACTGTGCAGCTGCTCTGGAAGACAGTTTGGCAGTTTCTTCCAGAATGAAACATGCTTGAACCATATGACCCGGCAGTCCCGCTCCTTGATGTTTATCCAAGGAGTTGACAAACTTATGTCCTCACAAAACCCCTGCACACGGATGTTTATAGCAGCTCTATTCAGAGTTGCCAACACTTGGAAGCGACCACGGTGACCTTTAGTAGGTGAACGGGTAAATAAACTGCAGTCCCTCCAGCCCATGGAACATTATCCGACAGTAAAAAACAAAGAAAGAGCCACAGAGCCCTGAAAATACACGGAGAAAACTTAACATGCATATCGCCAAGTGAGAGATGCCGACCCGAAAGGGCTGCACACTGATTTCAAGTGTTAACAGTCCCAAACAGGCAAGACTATGCCGATGGTAAAAAAAAAAAGTCAGTGGCTGCCTCGGCTGGGGGAGAGGGGGATGAACGGGCGGAGCACAGGATTTTTTAGGGCAGTGGAACTGTGACATTGTACTGTCGTGCTGGGTGCCTGTCTTTATGCATCTGTCACAACCTGTAGCATGTACGAGACCCAAAGTGAACCCCTATGTGACCTATGGACTGCGGGTGATACTGATGCCGATGCAGGTTCATCGACTGTAACACATGGACCACTCGGGTGGGGGTGTTGATGATGGAGGAGGCTGTTGGGTGGGGAGGGACAGGAGGTTTGGGGGGCCAGAGATATATGGGAAATTCTTCTTTTTACTCAATTTTGCTATCAAACTCAAAATTGTACTTTTAAGTACACAAAAGTATACTTTCCACTCAATTTCGAACTGGTCTAAAATACAAAGTTACTCACCTTTTTAAAGGCTGTGTAGCTATTGCCTTCAGCCTGTACCAGTGGAGGTTAATGCCAAGAAGGGAAATTCATGGATCCACAAACTTGGGTGCAGCCAGGACCTCAGACATCGCACAGAAACCACCGAGGCAGAGAACAGACCCCCAGAGACCCAATCCTCGCTCTTCGACTCACCGGCTGTGTGCCCTGGGCAAGTTACTCAACTTCTCTGAGCCTGTGTTTCTCCATCAGTCAAGTGGAATAATGGGGTTTATCTCCTTTATAGATGAGATAATCTATGGTGAACTCTTAGCCAGTACTCCACAAATGTTAGCTATTATTTGCATTATTTTATCCAGTACGGCATTCATTCATTGATAATTAATTGAGCTGTGCACCAGGTACTGGGGTGAACGAAGCTTACGACCTAGTCCAGCATCTCACCAGGCACGCCGCAGAGTCGGGAGCCAAAGACACGGCTGCCATTCGGGCTTGGCTGGCAAGCACCGGCTGGTACGCACACACCAGCCGCAGCTTCAGGAGCTCCAGCAGCCAAGCAATTGCTCAGAAGATTTTGCTATGAGCCAGGGTGTGGCACAGAGCTCGGCTGCGAGGGTTCAACCCAAGACCCAGCACCCCCTAGCTGTGGGACTTTAGCAAGCTCCTTACCGCCTGTGTGCCTCAGTTTCCCCATCTGTACATAGGAGTCGATAACAACGTATCTCGTGATTTGTCTGGAGGATTAAACAGTGTCACATACGTTGTGTGCAGAGTGCTGCTGGGCAGAGAGCAGGCGCTCTGACATGTTAGCGACCCTTGTTCTTTTTCTTGTTCTGACTCACCGGTGCCTGGAAGACTGGCCCCCAGCGGTGGCGACCGGGGGAGAGCAAGGCGGACTTCCTTGGTAACAGCGAAGAAATCCAGACGGCCAAGTCATCTCAGCAGCCCAGTGGAGTTCTCTGGAATGTGCCTACCTTGTGGCGTTTCTCCCACCGTGTGGCTCACGGGGTGTGAGCCGGTTTCTGAGTCACCCATCGCCATGGCACAGAAACCACGACCGCACGGGAGCAGAGGCCTGCGAGGGGGACTGGTCACAAACTGCGTGACTCACCCAAAGAGAAACATTAGCCACAGCAGCTGCATGTGAAATGACGTGAAAAGCAAAGTCCAGAAAGCAAGGGGCAGTGCAGTTTTATGTCGCGTTAACACACACACACACACAGAACTGCACATGCCTGTGTGCTGTGGTGACATGGTGGTGGTTTCTGGCCGGGTCCCTGGTCGCCTGGCACTTGCGGGTGGGAGAGACACGTTCCTTTCACCCTGTGCTAGTTGGCAGCTTTTGAATGTGGAGCCATACACCCATATTGCTTATTTAAAAAGAAGAAAGGGAGGAAGCAGAGACTGGAGTGGACTCAGGAATCAGCGCTCCACTGTGTTCTGTCAAACATCTTCTGCTGCTTCCCGAGCAGATGGCCCCGGGGATGGCGGGGTTGGGCTGGGGCCAGCGGGCAGCCTCCCTCCCCCATGGGTGCTCGGGGAGCCACGTGGGGCCCTGTGGCTAGGCACAGGCCTCCAGCTGTGTCTTCCTGTGTGGCGGGAGGCCCGGGCGCAGGGCTGAGAGCGCTGAAGAGAAGGCCCCAGCTGCCTGGCACAGGCTGCACACACAGTGCAAGGTCATGGTCCCGATACCTGGGTCTGGTCTGGGCAGCTTTCCAAGGCAGACGGTCGTGACACACAGCCCTCTTATAAGCACGGGGGAAGGCTCTCCATTGAAGCTGCCTGGTGCCATTCACAGGGCAACTTCCCAGTGAACCCCGGGGTCAGAGCAGCCCAAGGCTCAGGCAGCACATCCGGAGGGGCCAGGGGGTCCTGGCCTGCTCTGGCCGTCCGTGGGCTGGTGAGAGCCCAGAGGAACCAGGGTTCTTACTCTTCACCCATCTGCTCGGCTGAAACATAAAGATGCTTTTCAGAGCTCTCCCTGAATTGGCCCTGCAGCCTTGGGACACACACAGCATTGTGTGCAGAGACTTCCCTGCAGCAGCGGAAGGGAGAGAAAGGCCCTTTCAGTTAACTGCACAAGAAGCAGGGCTCTGTCCCAGGACGGCCCCATGCTCCGTGGGCCCCTGGGAATTCACAGGCCGTCCGAGCACCATTAACTGCCTGCGGTGTTGCCTTCGGGCTTCTCAGATGCCCTGTAGCCAACAATTCTTTGTACCTCCCTGTAGGAAAAACATCTTCGCATGCATGCAAACAGGTCCTCCTCAAACATCCCTTCTGCATTCAAATGCACGTGCACACACATGTTTGTACGTGATCATACTTGTGCCTAGCAACACAGGTGATGTCCTAGTAGTTCAGATACTTAGTTCGAGGTAACCAGTAAGATCTTCAGAGGGTTTAAAGCGACATGCAAAGTTATGAGTGATAAGGTAGTCTCCTTTGTTTCTCCAAATCTGAGTCATCGTTCAGTTCGTTAATTCTCTTTACCTACAGACGGTAACGCCTGCTGTGCCCCTTTTTATCTGTGGCTCATTCATTCATTCTTTCTTTCATTCATTCACTCATTCACCCAGCATGGGGAGGGGCCCCGCCATGTGCCAGGCACTGTTCTAGGTTCCTGGGCTGTGTTAATATCATTGTTACGTGGTCAGCAATCCATGGCCTGAGGTTTGCATTCCAGTGAGGAGACAGAAGTTCGCTGTGGTGTCATAAAGGGACAAGGATGGAGAGAGGGGGCTTTCTGGGGACGTGACCACTGAGTGCAGACCTGCAGGTGACAAGCCAGGGAGTCCCATGAGTGTCTGGGGCTCTGGGCAGGAGAAGTGGCGACTCCCTTGCTCACTTTGGTTCCATTGCACTCACTTGGCAAAAGCCAGCCCAGTGAGACCCAACTCTCCACCCACCGCACACCCCCATCTGCATGATTGAACCTTGGCTCCAGAACACCGGGCCACCGCACTGGCTGACCTCACTGAGAGTCATGCCCAGAATCTCAGGGTGGAGGGTGGGAGCGAGGGGGAGACTCCACGCTTCCGTAACACCCCGCTGGTGAAGCTGTTCACTCTCTCGCTCCAGGATGGGCAGTCCCCAGCAGCAACTCGCCTGCTTCCCTCTCAGCTCACCCTCCTTCCTATTTCCCGGAGTAACCGAAGAGCTCCCTACCACCGCCAGGTTCCAACACCTATGCACTTACTGACTTCATTCTCGCCCAAACCCTTCCTCCCTGTTACCCTGGAGGAAGTACGCAGTGGTGCCCAGCCCTGGTCTGCTACTCTGGCACGTCACTCCAAAACTTCTCCCTCTCTCCCACATTAGCCATCCTCCTCCTCCCAACCCCCATCTCCCAGAATCATGCCATCAGCATAGAAATATGGGGTATCTCCTATAGTAAAAAAAAAATCTAGTCCTGGTCTGTGTGGTTTATTTGGTTGGGGGTCATCCCACAAAGTGAAAGGTCACTGGTTTGAATCCTGATCAGAGCACATGCATAGGCTGTGGGTTCAGTCCTTGGTCAGAGCATGTGTGAGAGGCAGCCAATTGATGTTTCTCTTTTCTCTTTTTCCCTCTATTCCCCTCTCTTTAAAAATAAATAAAATATTAAAAAAAAATCTAAAGACCCTCTCTTAACGGTACTTTCCCCTCCACTCACTTTGCCCAACCACATCCCTAGGGAGTGGCTGTCTCCAACATTCGTCTCTTTCCATTTGCCCTTCAAGCCTTTGCTCAGATGTCACTTCCTCAGTGAGACCTTCCCTGACCATTGTATTTAACCGGCCCCTCCTACCCAGCTTCCCTTTCTCCATGGTGCTCATCTCATTCTAACACATGCTGGGAGGCACGTATCTATTTTGTTTACATCCCTTTCCTGGGATGAAGTCCAAATAGGACTGGAAAAAAAAAGTCTGGCCCTGCCCCGCTGGTGTGCCTCAGTGGATTGAGAGCCGGACTGCAAACCAAGGGCCACTTGTTCGATTCCCAGTCAGGGCACGTGCCTAGGTTGTGGGCAAGGTCCCCAGTAGGGGGCGCTCAAGGGCCAACCACACATTAATGTTTCCCTCTTTCTCTCTCCATTCCCCTCTGGAAAATAAATAAAATCTTTGAAAAAAAAAGTCTGTCTATTTTGTTCACAGTTACACCCTGGGCTCTCAGAAAAGGGGCCCAGGGCACCCTGTTTGGTGAGGGAATGAGTGCATGGGAGGGCAAGGGCCGGAACAGTGAGGCAGGCAGTGTGGCCGCCAGCAGGGGGCGCGGTGAGGGAAGACTATGGGCGAGAGGCAGCGACAGGCCCCATCACAGAGGGTCAAGGGGAGGGTCTTAGTCCGATGGGAATCCGGAAGCAGGAAGACGGAGGTCTGGAGCTGCAGAGGGACGCGATCCCACTGATGTTACTGGGATTCTGGGCACAAGCTGAAAACGGCACATTTCGTGAGCGTGTTCCCAGGCAGGCTATGTTTACATCAGCATTCTCGGAAAAATAGACGCGAAGACTAAAGGAAAGCCGCAGGTTCACCATGGGTCCCCACACCCAGGCCCGGCCACAGGGCGTGAGCCCTGCCCAGGGGGTGGATTCACAGGTAAAATAGAAATCAGAACATTTTTCACCGGACACAACAAAACAAAATGTTATCAGCAAACCCTTAACACCATCCATGCTCTGCCTACTTATTGATAAAACATTGAGCTCATCATTAGTTTGCTTTTTAAACAACTGGTGTTATTTAAAAACACATATTTTGAGCTATTAATCAACAAATACTTCCAAGCACATGGAACAGAGAAAACTGATCTATACATATTAAATAACATGGCTGCCATTCTAATTCTTTATTGTTTTTTAATTATTATTATTAATTTTTTACTTTTTAAAGGAGGAAGGAGGGACAAAGAGAGGGAGAGAAACATTGATGTGAGTCAGAAACATCTATCACTTTCCTCCTTGTAAGTGCCCTGACCGGACATTGAACCAGTGACCTTTCAATTTGCGGGACAACGCCCTATGAACTGAGCCATGCCCATCAGGGCACGGTTGCCATTCTAAATGTTGAACACAGAAATTGAAAGCATCTCGGTCCTTAAGAATTAAGTAGCCCTGGCTGGTGTTGCTCAGTGGATTGAGCACTGGTTGCAAACTGAAAGGTCGACAGTTCGACCCCCAGTCAGGGCGCATGCCTGGGTTGCCAGCCAGGTCCCCAGCAGGGGGAGCGTGCGAGAGGCAAACTATCAACGTTTCTCTCCCTGTCTCCTTCCCTTCTCCTCTCTCTAAAAATAAATAAATAAAATCTTTTTTGGGGAAAAAAAGAATTAAATACAGCAGTAAAACACCTAGCGGCTACCTGGCCTTTCCCGGCATCACCAAGGACCCTTTCACAGAGGTTTACTATGTGCTTTGACGCCACGGGACCCCGTCTTCATGAGCCGTAAAGCTACAAGGTGCTCCCCGGACTGTGGGCATGACCAGCTGGGGCCGGAAATACGTGGAGTGTGGGTTCAGGTGTGTGTGTCTATTGGTGGAGACGGTGCGTCTGCTTCCAGAGCTGAGTGGGAGTGGGGTGCACAGCCCACAGCTTCTGAGCACTCCAGGCAAGCAGACATGGGGGTGGGGGGCAGCTGGGGACCAAAGAGTATGGGCCTCGGCAGCTGGTCCCCTAGGAGGAAAGGAGAAGAGCAATTCGCAAGACTGCCTGGCTGGGGTCTGCGGTGCCTGCGCCGGTTCCCGGCTGTGGGCTCTGAACACCCAGGAAACTGGCCCTGGGCTTTTAGGTGTTGCATGGGGGTGGCCTCGTGTCCCCAGTGCTTTGTCGGCGATGTCCTCAAAGCTCGAGGGTCAGGCAAAGTGGGTCGCCGCTTTCCACTCTGATAGATGTCCTCACGCCTGGGTGCACCCAGGGTCATTGTCACAGTGCTCTGAGAAGCATGGGACATAGGACTGTAGACGGCTGGTTTCCAAGGGTGGATCCTGAGCCAGCCGCACCAGCATCGCCTGGAAACTTGTTGGAGATGCAGACCCCGAGGCTCCACCTGGACAGAGCTGCTGACTCAGAAACTCTGGGGTAGGTCCCAGCACCCGCTATTTCCATGCACTTCCTAAGGAATTTGGGTGCAGTTGGGAACTGCTGGGCCAGGCCAGTTCCCGGTGATGCTGCTGCTGCTGGTTCCACTGCTCTAGAAATTTCACAAGCAAATGATTCAGTTTACGAATTATCCTGTTATTAATTACCAAGTATCACCGAGTGCCTAAGGGTATAATAATGTGTAATAGTGATTACCTCTGAACAAGGGGATTGTGGGCAACTTTTAAAAAGTTTATGTACATTGTTCAGAGTTGTTATCATAAACATGTATTACTTTTTAAAAATATGTTTTATTGATTATGCTACTACAGTTGTCCCATTCCCCTCTTCATTCCCCTCCACCCTGCACACCCCCTCCCACCCACATTCTCCCTTTAGTTCATGTCCACATGTCACAAGTTCTTTAGATTTTACATTTCTCATACTGCTCTTGCCCTCCCCTTGTTTTTTTCTACCTACTGTCTATGCTACTTATTCTCTGTACCTTCTCCCCCACTCCCCTCCTCCCACTCCCCTGTTGATAACCCTCCATGTGATCTCCATTTCTGTGGTTCTGTTCCAGTTCTAGTTGTCTGCTTAGTTTGTTTTTGTTTTTCTTTCAGGGGTGGTTGTTAATATTAAATTGTGAGTTTGCTGTCATTTTAGTATACATGTTTTTTATCTTCTTTTTCTTAGATAAGTCCCTTTAACATTTCATATAATAAGGGCTTGGTGATGATGAACTCTTTGAACTTGACCTTATCTGAGAAGCACTTTATCTGCCCTTCCATTCTAAATGAAAGTTTTGCTGGATAGATAAATCTTGGATGTAGGTCTTTGGATTTCATGACTTGGAATACTTTCCAGCCTGTTCTTGCCTGCAAGGTCTCTTTTGAGAAATCAGCTGACAGTCTGATGGGAACTCCTTTGTAGGTAACTGTCTCCTTATCTCTTGCTGCTTCTAGGATTCTCTCCTTCATTTTTATTTTGTGTAATGTAATTATGATGTGCCTTGGTGTGTTCCTCCTTGGGTCCAAATTCTTTGGGACTCTCTGAGCTTCTTGGACTTCCTGGAAGTCTCTTTCCTTTGCTAGATTGGGGAAATTCTCCTTTATTATTTGTTCAAATAAGTTTTCCACTTGTTGCTCTTCCTCTTCTTTTTTTTGTACCCCTATAATTCGGATGTTGGAATGTTTAAAGATGTCCTGAAGGTTCCTAAGCCGTTCCTCATTTTTATTAAAGATTCTATTTATTTATCTTTAGAGGGGAAGGGAAGGAGAGAGGGAGAGAAACATCAATGTGTGGTTGCCTTTTGTGCATCCCCTGCTGGGAACTGGCCTGCAGGGAACCGGCCTGCAACCCAGGCATGTGCCCTGACTGGGAATTGAACTGCGATCGTGTGGTTTGAAGGCCCGTGCTCAATCCACTGAGCTACACCAGCCAGGGCTCTCCTCATTTTTTTGAATTCTTGTTTCTTTCTTCTTTTCTGTTTGGTTGTTTCTTTCTTCCTTCTGGTCCACTCCATTTATTTGAGTCCCAGTTTTTTTCCCATCACTATTGGTTCCCTGTGCATTTTCCTTCACTTCACTTAGCATAGTCTTCCTTTTTTTTCATATAATTGTGACCAAATTCAATTAATTCTATAGCATCCTGATCACCAGTGCTTTGCACTGTGTATCTGATAGGTTGGCTATCTGTTCATCAGGTAGCTGTATTTGTTGTGGAGCTTTGATTTGTTCTTTTGTTTAGGCCATTTTTTTGTCTTGTGGCGCCTGTTACGTGCTGAGGGGCAGAGCCTTAGGTGTTCACCAGGGCGGGGCAACCCAGTCAGCAGGGTTGTGACGCTGTATGTGGGGGTGGGGGTCATAGAGGGAATAATGGCAAATTGCTCTGCTCTCTGTGGGATTTCAGTCCCTTCCACTGCTTCCCCCAAGCAAACTGGGCCCTTCTGGTGCTGGTTCTCGGGTGGGTGGGTTTGTGTATGTCCTGGGACCCTGTGGGTCTCTCCAAGGAACTCTCCTGTGAGGCTGGGAGTCTCCCCCTGCGCCTCAACCTCAACATTTTCAATCAATGTTTTGAGGCTTTATTTCCCTGCGCTGGGACCCTGGGTTGCGCCGTCTGTCTTGCTCCCCAGTTTCACCTGGTTTATCTGCGTGAGAATGTGGGACCACCTGGTCTGCCGGCCACCTTGCGCGCAGTGCCTCGCTTCACAATCGCTGCCTCACTGGGTCTGCCCGTTGCCACCCCGTGCCCGGGGTCTGCCAGCCGCCACCCGTGTGCCCGGGTGCCACCACTTTTTGTGCTGTGACCCCTCTCCGCTCGGCCGCCCAACTCCATCCCACCTACTGTTCTGGATGAATGTGTCTATTTTAACTCCTTGGTTGTCCGACTTCCATACAGTTCAACTTTCTGTCAGGTTTGGTTGTTATTTTGTTTCTAAATTATTGTTGTCCTTACTTTGGTTGTGCAAGGAGGCACAGTGTGTCTACTTACGTCTCCATCTTCAACGTGTATTACTTTCATAAATAAAAATTAAAAGGTTTTCGAAGTAAAAATACCTTATTCTAGTATCCTTGTTATAGCAGTGCTTCTCAAATTTTATTGTGCAAATAAACCTCTAGGAGGGGGTGACCTTGGTAGAGATGGGAAGGGTGGGCCACTGAGAAGTTCAAGGCCGTATTCTTGGCATATGCTAGGAAGCTGGAGCATGGGGTAGAAAGGCCTCCAGATCAGTTCCAGGGAGCCAGTTCAGGAGGCCGTGATAGGGGACCGATTTTAACTGAAGTCAAGGGTCAGCCTGGAGGCTGTGGATGAAAATCGAGCTCTATAGGGCGATCTGGTCATAAATTCTCAACCAGGCAGGTCATGGTGGGTAGCCAGGCACCAGGCATATAACTTCCTTTGTAAATGCCTTATCTCCGCATTAATGTAATCCCTGTCTGTTGCTTCTGTGCCATCCAGGTGAACACACCTTTGAGATGTCTCTTTTCAACCCCCTCCTTCTAGTATGTGACCACCCATTTCAGAGCAGACCCCTCCTAACTCGGTATCACCCTCGAGAGAGCACATCATCTTAACTCTTCTGGAATCCCACCCCCACCATGGTCTCTCACCTTCATGCAGACTTCTTCAAGTTCCCTCCTTAATTCCAAATGCATAAAAGAAGTTGCAAACTGTCACTTCCTTAGAAACATTTGTCTCAGTCTGTGAAGTCCTGCTTCCAGGCATATCCTGTGTTTGGCGCACATCAGTATTTATAAACATTCTCTACAGGATGGACGTTCCTCGTTGACGAGGGTTTAAGCAGGAAAGTGAAGGTTTGGTACTTTTATGGTCGCTCTGGCTGCCGTGTGGGAAATGAAGCCTCTCCTCACCTCGGAGCTGGTGCAGGGAGCCCGCCGGCCCAGGGGCGCTCTGGAGTCTGCCTGCGCCCCCCAGTTGTGCGGACTACTTAGGAGTCAGGAATGTCCATATGCATAACAAGCCACCAGGGGACGCGTTTTTATTGCTGCTCTGAGGACCTCAAACCCGAGCGCCAGGAACAACATGACTTTCTCCCCCTTTCAGAGGACTTGAGCTCCCGGCCACGATTTTCCTTGTTGCCACGGCATCTTGGACACGTCTCCCTCTGTGCTTTAGTCTGCCACCTGTCAGAGAGGACATGGGCGCAGCCCATGGGTGATGGCCACGGGTGACACCCCCGGCTTCCACTCCTACACTTGGGGGAAGTTGAGCGGTGGGCGCAGCGTGGCCAGAAGCAGCGCCCTGCAGCACTCGGGGGATGGGGGTGGGGTGGGGGTGTTCGTTTCCTGCCCTGGAAACTGAGGCACGGTGGGGAGAGGAGCGTGGGCCCTCGAGACTCCCGCAAACAGTAAGCGGCAGGTCTCGGACCCACTGCTCAGGGCTCCTGCCAGTTGTCTCTGCAGAGGCCAGGGCCCAGCACAGCCAGGGACAGGGCGGAGCCGGAGGCCCGGAGCCAGTCCCGGGCTCGCAGGGGGCGGGGGGTGGCAGCAGGGATACCCCACGCCATCCCGGCGCTTGAGCGTGGACCCGCGTGCGGGACACGCCTCCGGGCTCCACAGCACGGACGGGACAAGCGACTGGGCCACGTTGCCCCCGCAGACCCGCCCCGCCCCGAGGCGCCCGCCTCCAGCGCGCCGGCCCCGCCCCTCGGCCGCGCCCCCGCCCCCTGGCCACCTCCCCCGCCTCCGCCTCCGCAGGCCCGGGACGTGCCCGGCTGGCGACCGAGCGGCGGGTACGGCGTCCGGCGCACTCACTTCCGCGTCCCGCCGTCCTGCGGCCCGCGCGTGCTCAGCCCCCGCCGCTCTCGGACAATAGGCCGCCCGCTCCGGCCCCCCGTGAACTTCCTGCCACCGCCAGACCGGCCGGTGCGCTGGAGGACCGCGCTGCCTCTCGGCGCGGGCCAGGATCACAGCTGCGCGGCTGCGAGGGTAAGCGGAGGGGACCGAGCGCGCCCGGGACGTGCCTGCGCCTCCGGCCGCCGCGCCTTTGCTCGGGCTGGGCGGTGCGGAGGCTTCTGCCTTCTCTGGCCCTGGCGACTTCACACCGGCCCGGTCCTGTGGCAGCCGCCTTGTGGGCTTCTGCGTTTGGTTGGTTAAGGAGGATGTGATTTTTTTTTCCTCCTTTCATGATTTGAAAAAGAGAAAAGAACGCACTGTAAGCTGGGACGGGGAAGCGCCACCATCTGCCCCCACGTGGACACTTCCGAGGGGAAAAGGAGTTGGAAGAACTTGATCCATCAGGCTTTGAGGCCTCAGCTTTGGCTGGACTGTAAGGCCTGGGGTCATGACTCTCACTCTGGGCAGGTGGAAGGTTTTACCTGTTCTGGGCTGGACTTGAGCCCCAGTTCTTGGCCAGCATCATCCCCTCCCCACCCCACCCCCCAAACACACACACACACACACACACACTAACTGGGCACCTGGCCTAGGCCTCCACACCAGTCTGCAACATGGATAAATACGACGACCTGGGCCTGGAGGCCAGTAAATTCATCGAGGACCTGAACATGTATGAGGCATCCAAAGATGGACTCTTCCGAGTGGACAAGGGTGCAGGCAACAACCCAGAGTTTGAGGAAACACGCAGGGTGTTTGCCACCAAGATGGCCAAGATCCACTTGCAGCAGCAGCAGCAGCTCCTGCAAGAGGAGACCCTGCCCCGGGCCAGCCGAGGTCCTGTCAATGGTGGGGGGCGCCCGGGCCCCCAGGCCCACCGGGACGCAGGTGTGGGCAGCAAGCTGACAACGGATGGTGCTGCCAAGCCCCCTCTGGCTGCCTCGACAGGAACTCCTGGGATGGCTGCCACCATCACCACTGGGCAGCCCTTGTGCCCACCCCAGGAGCAGAGGGCCAGGCAGTATGTCCATGGCCTAAGGCCTGGTAGCCAGGACTGTGGTTCCAAGGAGGGCCCGGCGAGCTCTGAGATGTCTGCTTTCCATGGGGTGAGTCCCTGCGAGGACCCCTCCTGCCTCACCCATGGAGACTATTACGACAACCTTTCCTTGGCAAGCCCAAAGTGGGGCGAAGAACCAGAAGTGCCTTCCAGCATCAGGCTGGGGGTAGGGAGCGGGTGGCCTGGCGCCCCAGGAAGTGATCCGGCACCACCCAAACCCTCTAGGGATCCTCACTTATACCAGCCACAGCTCTCCCCAAGCACCAGCAGGTCATTTGAGAGCGGCCAGGACCGGGGAGTCGATGGCCGCAGCAGCGAGAAGCCAGCAGGTCTTTGGACCACCGCCTCCTCCCAGTGGGTGAGGCCTGGTCTGCCCTCCCCGGGCCCAGAGAACGGAGCCCTGTTGGGACCGGCTCAGCCCAGGACCCCTTTCTCAGCACCGCTGGCCCTGAGCTGCCCGGGTCAGGGAGCTCTTCCCAGAACAAACTCTGGGGTGGGGAGAGAGGTTTCAGGCATGACGCCCCACCCAAGCGTGCACCCTCAGCCCTGGTTCCAGGAGGGCCCCAAATCTTACCTTTGTAGCTCTGGGCCATCATCTTTGCCAGCCAGCATGGACGGTTTGCAGCTGGGTGCAGCAGCCCCCGGCCTGGGTCCCAAGCCTGGTTGCACAGACCCTGGCGTTGGTCCCAAACTCAGCCCCACCAGCCGCGTCCATCCATCGATGTCCACTCCGCTGGAGTTACCTGGTAAAGAAGGTTCCTCTGGCTGGTCTTCTGAGGGCAGCCTGGGGCCTGTGCTCACAGAGAGCCCCAGCCCCCACAGAGTGAAGCTGCCCTGCCAGACCCTCAGCCCGGGCCCTGAGCCTGGGCCCTCGGCCGCCGAACTGAAGTTAGAAGCCCTCACACAGCGCCTGGAGCGGGAGATGGATGCTCACCCGAAGGCCGACTACTTTGGTGAGTGAGAGGCTGGTGGAGCGGCCCATAGTGGAACAAGGGGTTGCCCCCAGGGACGCTGCAGCTCTCTGGCCTGTCCCTTTTTTTTTTGGCTTCCTCTTTCAAGTGCTTCTTCTGATTCAGAAACTTGAAAGCATCCCTGGGCAGAAAGCGGACCTTGCATTTGGGGGTTACACGTGTGTAAAGGGTGAAGCAGGGTGGGATTGCCATGTGGCTTTCGAAAAGGGAAATGCTGTCACTTTGGTTTTCAAGGGTTCCAGGTGTGCCTTCAAGTCTTGGGCTCATTTGAGGGCTGGAATGGGGCGGCTCTGTCCGTCCCAGTGCCCTTGAGCCCTGCATCCGCAGCTGGCTGGGCCTGCAGCTCTGGCTGAGAGAGGTCCAGTAGTCGGGCAGGGGCCCTGCAGGGCCCTGCATGTGGGTGTGTCTGTCTGTCTGCCTGCGGGACTGTGGGTAGTCGAGACAGGTGTCACAGTAACGTGAGAGTGTCTAGAGCAGTGGTTCTTGGTCTCTGGACCAGCCGCATCCCAGCCCCTGGGAACTGGTTAGAATCGCAGCGTATGGAGCACCACCCCAGACCCACTGCATCAGAAGTTGGGGGTGAGACCCGGCACTTTCACAAGCCTGACCCACGGGGAAATCTGAGACCCTGGACTAGGTGCCTCCTGACTCAGCCCCCCAACCCCCCACCGGGGGTTCCAGCTGGCCACCAGGTTGCTGAAAATAGGATGGAAGATGCTCCGTTTTGGTTTTGCTTGAAGTTGCAGATTTTGTTTTATTCTCTTTTTACTTTAAAACCACAAACTTTGAGAAACCGCTGGCTTCGGTGTTTTTTCCTCCACGCAGGGTTGGAGGCGGTGGGAGGGAGGCTCTGCTCCACCGTGGAGGTGGAGTCACGCCCTGGCTGTCTCAGCAGAGACCCCACTGGGGGCCAGCCTATTTTTAGAAGAGTCTAGGGTTGTTTTTGTTTTGGGGGTTGGTTTTTTTTTTTTCAGTTTCGAACTCTGGATTCTCAGGGTCACGATTTCTCCTCCGTGAGGCCTGAGAGCTCTGGGAAGCTGGTCCCACTGGGGTGGCGGCTCTGCGGGGGGGGGGGGGGGGGGGGGGGGCAGGGACAGGGGCGGTCCTGGAGGGGAGAGGCTGGCTTGCTGCTTTCAACCTACCTCGTTCTCTGTGAATGGACCGTTTTGTCCCAGGGTTGCTTGGCAGTTCTGAGGCTCCTGTAGGGGCACCGTGTCCTCTCTCCTGGTGAGAGTCCCCGGGCGACCGCTCTCTCGAGGCGAGGTGCGGTTTGTCTGTTTCCCAGCACACAGCATCATTTTACTGAGGATTCTCTCTTCTTCTCTGCAAATTCCCCTCTTTGGGAATAGTGCTTAGCTGGAAATTCTGTGGATTTTTTTATTTTAACTTTTGTTGAACTCTTTAATAAGAGAAAGTTTACATGGAGAGTCACAGGGGTGGATGTGGGCTGTAGAAGAGATGGGCCTGGGAGGCAAGTTACGGAGGCGAAGGAGGGGCCCCTGGAGCTTGGAGAGAAGGGCAGAGGGAGTGCACCTGGGGGGGGGGGGGGGGACTGGGACGGGGCAGGGCGTGCTCCCAAGGCGGGCGCTCCCTCTCCTTTAATTTACTTCAAGCTCCTTACACAGCAGAACCACAGTTTGACCTTCTCAAGGAGGCACGTTTACACTCCGATCAGAGTGGAGATATTAGCTAACGCTCTTCATTCATTCAGCACACGCTGAGCCCCTCCCCGGGCCGTGCTCCGTTCCAGACCCTGGCGTACAGAGTGAACAGCACTGACAGAAGCTCTGCCTCCCCAAGCAGAAACTGTGGAGTCAGGCGATGAACAAACAAGCCGGTTTTCAGGAGAGAAGGAAGTAGAGGAGGGGACGGAGCTGCAGGGCAGTGGCAGCAGGGGAGGGGGAGCCGGTTTTAAATCCGGTGTGCAGGGAGGGTCCCATCCACAGGCGGCATTCGAGAAGAGGCTTGAAGGAGGTGAGATGGTGGGCATGCGTCGGCCCCGGGCCAGGGCTTACTCAGCAGGGTGGGCAGCAAGAGCAGCGGCCGGCGGGGCTGGGCTGGGCAGTGCCAGGCGCTGAGCTAGACCCTTGACGCGGAACTTTTAATGTGCTTGTCCCAGCGGCCTTGGGAGGAGGGTTACCCCGCTGCACTGAGGAGGAAACTGAAGCTGGGGGGGGTATCCCGTTACTTATCCCAGGCCTCACGCTGGGTGTGGCCGGGATCGCACCCCAGGGTTCAGCCCCGTCAGGCCTCTTACCAGTATTGCCAAGCAGGGCCCCCACCCACCCTCCCACCCCAGCCAAGCTCAGATGGGCGAGCCGCATTCATTCATTTCATTTTACGTCTGTAAAACAGTTGTGGTGAGCTTCACGTAACAAAATTAACCATTTTAAAGTGAACAGCTCAGAGGCATTTAGTACATTGCATACTTTCATTGTGGCAAATGCCACTCCATCCACTTCCAGAACATCTCATCGCCCCAGAGGGGAGCCCTGCAGCCAAGCGGTTGCTTCCTGTTTGCCCAGCCCCCAGCACCAGGCTGCGTCTTGTACGGATATTTCACGTAAAGGGAATCGCGTTTGTTTTGCATCATGCACATGTAGAAAATTCAGAAGACATAGAAGTACGCACTGCAAGCAGCGAGTCCTCCTCCCGCCCCCACTTCTGGGCAGGTGTCCTGAGCACAGTGAATTGTCAGCTGCTGGTGATGGCGGTGGCGTGTTGTCACCTGCTCTTTGCCTTTGCCCCGAACAGTGCGTCTTGGCAGTTGTTCTGTGTCACCTTGCATTCAGTTGGCTCAGCGTCATCGCCGTGTGGCTGTGCCCCGGGTCACGCAGGCAGTGCTTGGGGGAGGACCCGCAGAAAGGGCCGGCTGCAAGGTGCAAGGGGAGCTCTGGTCCGAGTCCCCAGGGTGGGGCTGCGGGGCTGGGGGCTCTGTGCCCTTCATAGGCTGCCTGGTGGCTTTTTTTGGAGCTCGTGCTGGGGAGCCCACCGCCCACCATGGAGGAGAGGGCCTGCCCTGTGCCTGGTGTGGCAGCGATCCTCCCTCCACTGTGGTGTGACCAACCGCGTGGCAGAGAACGCCTGTCCCTGTCCTCTGAGCACCTGGCAGTCATTCTCGGCCCAGCTCCTGCCGTGGGACCTTGCGCGAACCCTGCTGTCTTCCAGGCCTCCCCCCACCCGTGGTGCAAGGAGGCTGGACCAACCCCAGATGTGGTGTGGCTGGGTGGGGTTGGTCTGCCCAGCACACTGCCCTTGTTAAACGATGACGAAATCATACTTCCAGGTAGAAGGATATCTACAGATACGGGGCTCTTGCCAGAGAGGGAGAGGCAGGCATGGTAACGGGTGCCATCAGTGGGAATTCTAGCCAGAACCAGAGCAGAGGAGGAGTTCGGGTTGGTCCTGTGGCCCCTTCCCCCGGCAGATGAAGGTGTTCCTGTGGCTGCTGTGGGCGGAGCTCATGAGTCCTGGCCTCCGCCTTCAAGACCGCTGAGGTCCCTTGATCTCTGGTGATTGACCCACCTGTCACCGGGGGCTCTTCTGGCACTTTCCATGGCTGTCTTTGTAGGTTTGGTACAGTATGGTCCTAGGGAGGCATTTCTCCCTCCGTCCTTCCCCAGGATTCCTCTTCGTATCTTTCTGTCCACGGGGAAAGAGTTAAGGACAAGCTTTGCTGCTAGGAGAACACCGTTTCCCGCCTTCCCAGGCCTCCTCTTGGACGACGTCACCGTCACCCGGGGACCACAGTGGCTTCCGTTTACACACCGCTGTTTACCCTGCAGAGGAAGTGAGGAGCACACTGTGCCTTTTGTTTAACCCTTCCCACCTTTTCCTCCACGGTGTCCGCTTGTCTTCCTCACGCCGGGCCTCTTCTCCGTCCAAAGGAAAATGACACAAACACACCCCCTGTCCCAGGCCGGGTCTCCTAGGGGCTGAGTTTGAGACAGAGCTCAGTGTGGGGGGTGCCCCTGGGACCCCTGCCTGCGGAGTGGGGGAGGGGAGAGTGCCAGCCCCCACGCAGGCCCGCAGCCCCGGCCGACCGGCTGCCCCCCAGGCCAGCGGTTCAGGAGTCCACCCGAACTCCTTCGGGAGACACCGCGCCGCGACTTGGGTCCAGGTGCCCATTGCTCTGCAGGTAAAGTTCTGATCCTGCGGCAACGTTTGTAAGTGGCACCCACGGCCTCAGTTCTGCCCGGCCAGCCCTGCGGGTGCACACCCGAGACGGGGACACCCAGCGCTTGGGAAACTGTGTCTCTTATGATTATTTTAGTGGACCGGGAATCGTCCCCTTAAAATCAGAAAGGCATGTGTGGTTTTTTTTTTAAGATTTTAATTAATTAATTATTTATTTATTTGAGAGGAAGGGAAGGAGAGAAGGAGAGAACATCTATGTGTGGTTGCCTCTCATGCATCCCCTGCTGCGAACTGGCCCGCAATCCAGGCATGTGCCCTGACTGGGAATCAAACCGCGATCTTGTGGTTCCCAGGCCCGAGCTCAATCCACTGAGCTACACCAGCCAGGGCCTGTTTTTTAACTTCGTATTGACATGTAACACACACGTGGTAGATGTTCACAGAGGGGGCGCACCCACGTGGCCTGCAGCCAGGTCGAGATGCAGGACGTGACCAGCACCCAAGAAGCCCCACTGTGCGCCTCTTGGAGTCACCACAAGCCTTGAAAGATAACCGTAGAAAGAAAGAAGTTATCAGAAAGATAACTTCTGAACGCAGCCATGAGTTTCTAAGCAACTGTATAATTTGAAGTAACTTCTAAAACCTTAAGTAAATTTTAAACCGTTTTGCAGCAGGTTTGGGGAGGAAGGGACAGTGTGTGAGTGGTCGGGGCTCAGCCCCGGCTGAGAGCAAGGGGGCGGCCACGTCAGCGGGGCCAGCTCCATTGTGCCCCCTGCGCTGTCAGCGCGCACTGGCGTGTGGCCGCTCCTGTGTGGTCAGCGGCCAGGGCTCAGACGCCACTGGTC